CTTCAATTTTTAAATACTTCATTTTGTTTTTCTTCTTCAAGATGATCTAAGCTATTCTTGGGTTTTCCATTTCCATATTAATTTTTGGAAAATCTCATCAATTCCAGTAGGAAAACTTTTTGGGACTTTCACTTTGGTTGCACTGAATTTATAGTGCAATTTGAGGAGCTGAATTATTTAAAGTTGACTCTTGAACAACATGAGGGTCAGGGACACTAACCTCCATGCAGTTGAAAATCCATGCATAACTTTTGATTCCCTCAAAAATTTGGAACTAATGTTTACTGTTGACTGGAAGCTTTACTGATGACATAGTTGATTAACACATATTTTGTATGCTGTACGTATTATATACTATATTCTTACACTAAAGAAAATGTTAAGAAAATCATAAGGAAATGAAAATACATTTATATTACTATACATATATTTATTGGAAAAAAGTCACGTATAAGTGAACCCACACAGTTCAAATTCATGTTATTTGATCACTGTCTGTCCGTGTGTGTGTATATAATGAAGCAATAATATTTACGTATATAACTATAAAAGTATAATATAAACGTGTATAATAGCATTTCTATATTTCCATGTAAGTATATATACTTACTATACCTAAGTATGTGTATCTCAGTATAATACATATATATATTATATGTGTATTATATAAATATAATAATGTAATTAAACTATGGCTCTCTTCTTTATGCTTTTACACTTATTTATTCTGTCTAGGCTTCTCTCCCTCTAGTTCTTAATTTTTTCCTCTTCAAGCTCACTTGAAGTTATCATCACCTCCTTCCCTAACACTTTCTCCTCACTCCCCTTATTTGCCACAGGTTTATGAGATACTTTGTAGGCATCTTGGGTGGGACTTGGTACTGGAATCTTACCTCCTGCTCCTCTTTTGCTCCAGGGTTGTGGCCATTAGTATTTTCTAAAAAATGGACAATCAAATGAGAAATTCATATCAGTTTTATCTCAGGATTTCTGGTAACGAGTCTAAACTGGAAACTATTGTGGAAGTCCTACCTCCATCTCAGAATGAAGGCAGCATGTTATGAAATGGGGAAGGTAACCTGCTTCATTCTAAGCAGACTGGGTCTAGGTGGGAATATGCATGGGAACTGGTAGCTTACAGCCTCCAGAAAGGCAGAGTGAGGAAAGTGAGACATATGATAGGCTTTTAGCTATGACTCCGTAGAAGTAGTCTCCAAATTGCTTTGATTGCACTGTCTTATCAGTAAAAAACATATGAACATCTATCACCAATGTTTGTATATTTATTTCTACATTACTTAAATGTACTGTAATTTGCTATATAAATTCTACAATATACAAAAAATTAAAAATGATAAACACTATTTCAAAAAAATTATTTCCATGTTGTTTCTTCGTGGTATAGGGTTCAATAAGCACTACTATTTTTGAAAAGTGCGATTTAACATCTGTGATGTAGTAATTTGAAGGTCTCATTCTAAGGCAAATTTATTATTTCAGCATATGGTTTTTAATGCCATTGTATTTGAAAAAGTTACTTCCAGTATTTGAAATTTCAAATGGAAGAGGTGCACCCTGGTTGCGCTTAGTAAAACCACATTTCTCATTTTTCATTTCTATTCTACTTTGCAAAGTTTTTAGTCCAGATTTTATCAGTAAGATTTCATCTTTTCTAAGTAATTAGTTCTGGCAAACTAATTGGAAGGTGTTGCATATTTTTATATTTGAAAGGAAAAATGGTCTCCTAATCTGCTGAAACCCTTCCTTTGTGAGATTTTTAAACAGATGAGGAAATGGTTTCTAAGTTGTTAAAGTGTGATACCCCAAGCTTGTAGGTGATCATAGCACATTTGCACACGCAGAAAATAACATTGGATGAAAATATTTCTAGTAGTTTTAAAAATATTCTTATCTTAACATGAGTTCATTTCAAAAAAGGTATTTTCACACTCATTAAAATGTCACTACTTTACTCTGAAAAGACAGATTAAGAAATATCTACTTTAGCTGGAGGGGATTATACTAAGTGAAGTTAAGTCAAGCAGAGAAAGACAGTTATCTTATGGTTTCAATCATATGTGTAATATAAGCAATAGCACGGAGGACCATAGGGGAAGGGAGGGAAAACTGACGGGGGAGAACTCAGAGAGGGAATTGAACTATGAGAAACTCTGGACCCCGGAAAACAAACTGAGGGTTTCAGAGGGGTGGGAGGTGGGGGTGGGGATAACAGGGTGATGGGTACTAAGGAGGGCATGTGTTGTGATAAGCACGGGGTGTTATATCTAACTTATGAATCACCCAACATTACATCAGAAACTAATGGTGTGCTATACAGTGGCCAACTGAACATAATAAAAAGATAGTTTCATAGTAGCCAAAAGTAAAAGAAATATTCATTTTAAAATATTTGTTAGTTTATATACTGCTGATAGTTATTTGTTATCCCAGAAAATGTTAGCAAATTTAGAACACTTGTCTTTTTATAAGACCAAAATACATGGTATATCTTTATTTGCCAACTTTTAAAAATATTTTTCCAGGAAATTTTTTATGCTCAGTCCTCATCTATTTGTAAAGCACACTGAATATACTGCTTAAGGTAGTTACCCACCTAACTAGCAAATGCACTACCCTGAACTCATGAAGGTGTGGTGCGACCTCTTTGAGTATAAAACTCACACTTTTCCTCAGAATTTGTCTACCGCTTATAGATAGTTGTATGTGCTCACTTTCTTATTTGTTAGAGAAAATTGTTAAATTCTAATATTTACTTCCACTACTCTAGGGGATAATCCCTGGGCCCTGCCTTGAGTGTCCTTGTTTCAGGCAGACAGAACCGCAGAGTGTGAAAAAGAGTCATTGCTCCTGAGTTAGGCGGGGAAAAGAAGATTTTAAAAATATCATTTAGAGTTAATAATTCCAGGTACTTTTAGTTTGCAGAATGAATGGGGAGATCTGAATAATCAAATAAGTTATTCTTTTTCCCATGTAGGAAATCTGGGTTGGATAAAGAAAAAGTAAAGATAAAAGTCTCTTTTTCAGCCATCGTTTATCTGGTAGAGAAACCATAATTTTTTTTTCACTGTCTTCAACAACAGACTGAATTTCTCAAGGGCAAGAACACTTCAGGGTGGAACCAGTACAGTGCCCAGCATACAGCTGTGCCGGCACATAGTAAATGTTCATTAAAGTCAGTGAGGTTTCTTTTAGGACTAAGGAAGTAGGAATATACTGGAAAAGCTAAGCGTGTAGGCTAGTGGATTTCCAAATAAAACTGGAATGGAGGAGAGTAGGTACAAAAGGTCATTGGGGGAAGAAGTGCAGAACAACGTAAGCGAATATATAGACTTTTAATTAAAAGACGTGCCATGAGGTACTTTTATTCGGAGTGGGGCCAAAAGTGACAGAGATGAAAGGCATAGTGGAATTAACTGAAGTAAAAATTCTCTGCAGGTTCAGGAGAAATTCTAGGTGGTATAAGTAGGCCTTATGAGACCGGTCTTTGGAACTCTTGTTCAAGATTCTAACAGAATTTTGGCAAAGAGTTGTTTTGCTCATGTTGCCGCTGAAGAAAACTCTGCTCAGGTAAGGAAAGGAAAGTAAAAAGGTAGTGACCTGAGGGTGGGGCTGGTATTTTTGCCACATAGCTAAGGATAAATCAAGCACGAGTGTTCCAAAAGATTTTCCCCCAATTATTTTGTATTTGTTAAAATGCACATTCAAAGTAGACTTCATAATAAGGTTATCATAACATTAGAAAGCATGAGGGTCCACACTGAATACACATATAATATACCACAGTTTGGTGTTTTTATGACAATACAGTAATTGTCACTCAGTCACCTTAAACTACAAATTATACAAATATATAAAAATATGTATAAGACCCATTAAGCCAATAAGATGCAGCAGCACTAGCAAAATGACCCAACATATATACAACAATTTTTTTCAGTAAACTACAGTGTTTGTTATATACTTGGAAGCAAAAATTTTTAACATAATTGAGGATTTATTATATATGTCAACAATGGAACAGTTGATTCTTGCAAAGACACAAAACAACAGATTCCTGGGAAGTTAATGTTTATAAGTCAGGCCATGTTGATTCAAGTTAGCAAATGTTGGGTCTAAATACAATTCTTCTTTTCAAACTAGATTTGCCATAGGTGTTTTCCATATTCCCCTCACCTCTCCCCTCCATTACCTTCCTTCTCCTTCTCCTTACCTTTACAATCTATACTAAAGTGTCATGTAATTTTTAAAAGCTAACCATCGTATGTAGTGACCAGAGCCCTTAAGAACAAAGTTAAAGACCAACTCACAAACTTCATCTGTTAGTGAAGTTACTCTGGGAGAAATGACACAACTCAAAACCAAAAGCCATTTGTCCATTGCTCCACTCCCTTTTACCTACTATTCCAAAGTATTAAACTGCAGTTCCTTCCAAGGCTAATCAACTGAACGAATATTGGAATAACTTGCGAGTAGGATCACTGCCATCTGTGGGATATAATTTTTAGTCCATGCCAGGTTAAGATTAAAATGTGGTAATGGTGGTCATTTTTTTAAAAGATTTTTATTTATTTATTTGACAGACAGATCACAAGTAGGCAGAGAGACAGGCAGAGAGAGAGAGGAGGAAGCAGGCTCCCTGTGGAGCAGAGAGCCCGAAGCGGGGCTCGATCCCAACACCCTGGGATCATGATGGTGGTCATTTTTAGTTAGCAAGCAGAGCTCATTATTCATGGTACTATGCCCTTCTCTCCTCCCTCATGATTCCCTGAATGATTTTATATTTAATTGTTTACATTTTGTTTCTCTGCTAACTTATTAATAAACTTATTGAGGGTAGGGATGAAATTTCTACTCATACTAATATCCTACTGCCTAGAATAATACCTGTTACTTAGTGGATACTCATATTTGTTGAAATGAACTTTTATCTATTTCTTCTTTGCCTTCTAAAGTCTAATGTTAATTTATTTACATCGTAGATGCTGAGAATAACTCTTAAAGAGTCTAAAATTAAAGAACCGGAAATAACACCTGAAGTTCCGACTTTGATACCATTTGGGGATGTGGTATGTGAAACTTGCCTCCACAAACTTGTACAAGTTATTTCTTATTTTATGCGAAGACTAGTTATTATTTATTATTTGATAATCAAAAAGTATATATAGAAAATGGTTCTCTCTGATAACATTTGTGAATTGTTCATTTCTTCATCAAGTCAGAAAAGCATTCTGGAATCACTGAAATTAAGGAAGACATTTTGATTCACAGGGAAAAAAATTGTTTCTATATAGCGGTTCCCAAAGTCTCACTACATCAGAATCATCTGGGATACATTTTAAAATCATTGATTCTCAGTCCCCACCTAAGATCTACTAACTTGGAATCTGGGCATGGGGCCTAAGATTCAGTATTTTTATTGTGCTGGTCAGGTGACTATATTTATTGTCAGATTTTGGAGGCTTTGAGCTATGATTTAAAAATTGACCCTACATCTTTCCTTCAAGTCCCAGGTACAAAAACAGACATACTCATGAATCAGACACATACACCCAAACACACAGGTAGGACCAACTGAGAACTAGGCTGAGAACCAGAAAAACCTCTGTTTTTCTTTTGGGTGCTACGGAGTATGGGACATGAGGATCTGCGTACATTAAGAACTATTAAATGTTGTGGTATTCTTTTATAGTTATCTTTCTTCCTGAGCATCATTAGAACAGTTAATGGGTATGAAGGGAGAGAGTTTCCCCTTGGCCTTCTTCTCTAGATCCTATCATATACTATACATTTTCTTGATTAAAAAATATATGATGAAAATTTAACACCATGATTTTTGGGGGGAAAAGTAAAACTGTATTCATGCATATGTTTTGTTTTTACAAAACAAGCACAGTGTGCATTTATCCACGTAATTATATAGTGATGTATGAAACATCACGGTCAAAGTCACTGTTTGAATCTAAAATTAGAAAAAGATTCTAGGATGCCTGGGTGGCTCAGTCAGTTAAGCTGCTGCCTTCTGCTCAGGTCATGATCCCAGCGTCCTGGAATCGAGTCCCTCCTCGGGCTCTCTGTTCAGCGGGGAGCCTGCTTCTCTCTCTGCCTCTGCCTGCCACTCTGCCTGCTTGTGTGTGCTCCCTCTCTCTCTCTGATTGATAATAAATAAATAAATAAATAAATAAATAAATAAATAAATAATCAATCTTTGAAAAAGAAAACGAACTCACTTGAAATCACTTTTGGCTGTAAGCTATTATGCCTGCCGCTGTGTTGACGGACTGATCTCCGTCACTAGTGCTTCTGAGTGCGGCACCTTCCTTCCTTCAGAGCTGATACTTTGATTTCATTCACGCTTTCTGACTTCGTAGTTTATATTTTCCTTAGTTGAATTACATGTCGCTAGACATTAACAACCTTCTTTTAAAAGTCAGCTGGAAGTTTTTGACAGGCGTTTGGCATGTGATAGCTCCTCTCAGCGTACGATTTGTCACACGACTTTCTCTCTGAAAGTTCTGTGATTTGTTCTGAGGTATTTGGCAAGGCTTGTACGTGTGTCTGCGATGACAGCTACATCACAACCCACTGTTCCTCTTTCTGACAGAGCCCTTTTTCAGAAAACATGTGAAAAATCCTGTCTTCAAATTGGCTGCTGAAAGTGCTTTTGTGAATACCTTTCTAGTTGCTTTCCTATTGTACATGCATGTTGGGGGTTGGTGACATGGTTATAGCTTTGGGACACAGATGGGTCTCAGAGTCTGTGGCAACATTTGTCACCCATAGCCTGGGAATGGTCATCATTATCTTTTTAAGTGTTAAATATTTTCCTGTATTTGAAAAACCTTGAGAGACTCTTAACTCTAGGAAAGAAACTGCGGGTTGCTGGAGGGGAGGTGGGTGGGGAAATGGGGTAACTGGGTGATGGACGTTAAGGAGGGTACATGATGAGATGAACACTCGGTGTTAAATGCCACTGTTGAGTCACTGAACTCTACCTCTGAAACTAATGATGTGCTCACTATATGTTGGCTAATTGAGTTTAAATCAGAATATATTTGAATAGAAATTTTTATTTTATATGGATCTATGATATTAAAGTATAAAGAGCTGCTGAAATATAAGGGAAGTTGGGGTAGTTGCCCAAGGCACAGAATGTTAATGTGTAACATTATGCAATATAACCTTGTAGTTATACTTCCATGTTTTACCCTCCTCACATGTAATTCCAGTTTTAAGAAATAATGATTCATGGGATCACCTATGACAGGACCATTTAAAATCCTGCCTAGATCATGTAATATGCATTACACACATTTGCATTTGAAAACTTGGAAACTTCCCTTTAACATAACATTTCATATCAAAGTTTCTGTAAGTAGACCACAGTACTTTCTTCTTAGGATTTCATCATTCACATGCCATAGTCTTTTAATTAAATACTGGATGCTAATTTCTCTTTCTTTCTTTCTTTCTTTCTTTTTCTTTTTCTTTCTTTCTTTCTTTTCTTTCTTTCTCTTTAAGATTTTATTTATTTCACAGAGAGAGACACAGAGAGAGAGGGAACACAAGCAGGGGGAGTGGGAGAGGGAGAAGCAGGCCTCCTGCCGAGCAGGGAGCCCAATGCAGGGCTGGATCCCAGGACCCTGAGACCATGACCTGAGCTGAAGGCAGACGCTTAACGACTGAGCCACCCAGGACCTCTGGATGCTAATTTCTTTTTCTGTATTATTTTAAAACCAAATCTTTAAAATTATTTACTTACATTTAAAAATACTACTGGGCCATTTATTTTGCTTCACAGTGTTTAATATAATATTACTGTTGTTTTTACTTGGTTTTAAAAACCAAACATGGCTAAATATATTTGGGTGATAATGCAAATCAATATTCAAATATTCCTGTATTCATTTTTTACTTGATTTTATGCTTAAACAGGAGATATAATTTTCTTTATCATTTGGAAATACTTTGTACAAGATAGAACGAATATTTCACAGTCCTTGGGACATTGTATTGGATGAACGATTGTTAAATGAATAGAGTGGTTTTAGGATACTGGATAAAAAAGACCATTTGAACCAAGGCATATTTTTTATTATTATATGCAGGATGCTACACTTTGTCAATGCTCACCTACTATAAAATAACAGTAATTCAAAGAGTGATGGTTGGATTTAAGTTAATAATGCTTTTTTTTTTTTTTTTTGCTTTGTATTTTTATTCATTTTAGTTTTACTTTGAATAAATCCTGCCTATTTTTCTTCTGTATTTCTGTTTTCTGGTGTTTTCTCTCAAGGAGGTATTGCTAATGGGAAACAATATTTTTAAGAAGAGAATTAGCAAAGTGGAGCTTTTAAAAATATATAGTTTGGTGTAGAATAAAATGCAAGGAAAGTTAACTTTTAAAAACTCATTGGCTGTATTTTTACTTTGATTATTTTAGGTTGGCTGCATTGCTATTCATATAAAGAACTGCAGACATTTCACGCCTAAGAGTATCCTTTCTTTTGATTTAAGAGTCGTACCATGATCATATATGTCTGTTTCAGTTACATATTGCTGCCTTACAGAACACTGCAAGACTTAGTGGCTTAAACCCTGCACGATTTTATTATCAATCACCATGTGTATTTGCTAGGTGCCACTTCTCCCCATGATCACAGCGGGGTCTACGGTCGCCCTGCAGTTCAAACAGGCTAGAATGTCGAAAATGGCTCATTTACATACCTGGTGTTTCAGGGATGATGGCTGGAAGACCGGACTTAGCTGGGAAGCTGAAATGGTTAGACCTTTTTCTCTTGCCATAGAGTCCCAAGGTCTTGCCTTTCCATCATATTTTTTTTTCTGCACTAATTTTGATCTTTTTTAAAAAAAATATTACATTAGAATAAAAAAAATATTATTTATTTTGATTACTGAAGTTTTGGACATCCCCTTCAATTTTGGACCGTGGCTGGTGCCTCTCTTATCCTGTTCTAGTCCCAGCCCTGATCATGTCCAGCGCATATTAAAGTAGTTACAAGACCACACCAGATTCAAGAGCAGAGGAGAATAAGCTCCATTTTTTGATGTGCAAAGTGACAGAAATTTTTCACCCATATGATGAAAAACCTCTATCACCATATAAGTTAAAGGAAAATGTATATCTTACCAAAAAAAGGAAAAATACATATCTTAGATGATAATATTAATTATTTCTAAGTAATAATTGTGCTACCTTAAACATTGTTTGAAGGATTTATTTATTTTGATGCCTTTAAATAAACTGATTGCTTATTATCATGGCATAAAACCAGTCTCATTATGAAGATTTGGTGTTTCTTTTTTATATAAAGTGAATTGTTTTTTTAAAAGATTTATTTTTGCGAGAGAGAGAGATTGAGAGAGAAAAGACACGAGTTGGGGGTTAAGGCCAGAGGGAGAAGCAGACTCCCCACTGAGCAGGGAGCTCGATGCAGGACTTGATCCCAGGACACTGGGATCATGACCTGAACCAAAGGCAAATGCTTAACCAACTGAGCCACCCAGGCGCCCCTATAAAGTAAATTATTGAAGACAATTCTACATAAAGAGAGTTTTGAAGATAATTAGTTAAATCATAAAAACAAAATTGTTTTAATGCATGGAGTGCTATGAAAGATAAAAATATAGTAAGCTGAAGTATATAGTGACATGAATAAGAGAATAGAAAACTACTTGGAGGAGGTTGTGCTGAGTGAAATAAGTCCAGCAGAGAAAGTCAATTATTATATGGTTTTACTTGTGGAACATAAACAATAACATGGAGGACATTAAGAGAAGGAAAGGAAAAGTAAAGAGGGGGATATCGGAGTGGGAGATGAACCATGAGAGACCATGGACTCCGAGAGACAAAATGAGGGTTTTAGAGTGGAGGGGGTTGGGGAGATGAGTGGTGTTGGGTATTTAAGAAGGCACAGACTGCATGGAGCACTGGGTGTTATACGTAAACAATGAATCTTGGAACACTGCATCAAAAACTAAGGATGTATTGTATGGTGACTAACACGATTTAAAAAAAAAAAGAAGTTCCGTGCTACACACACACACACACAAAAGAAAACCGCTTTAAATTTTGTCTTAATGTTAAAAATAAGTGACTTTTGAATTTTTGCATTTCTATATAATTATGCCTAGAAAAGTTTTTAACTATATATTACAAATGTTTAGTCACCTTAAAAATGACATATAGAAGGGCTCCCGGGTGGCTCAGTTGTTAAGCATATGACTTTTGATTTCGGCTCAGGTCATGATCTCAGAGTCTCACACTGGGCAGGAAGTCTGCTTAAGATTCTCTCCCTCCTCCCCTTCTACAATTACTTTCTTTCTTTCTTTGATTGATTCTTAAGTTTTGCCTAAATTGTTTAATGGATTAATTTTATACTGTGTTATTGTACAATGACAACAAATTTTGTTTCCTCAATATCTGTGTATTTTCAGTCCGTTTACAACATTTCAATAATTTGTTCATTCGCATCTCTATAAACAACATTGTGAAATGTACAAAAGTATGTAGCTTGGCATCCCCAAATGGTGAAAAGTACACTACAGTTAATTTTGATGACACAAAGTACTTTTCTGTACAGGTAATGTTAAAGTTCTATTCTGGATATAAGATTGCATTTTTATAGTTTCAGATAACCTACACTAATTATATCCTTTTCTTAGGGGTAGGAAAGAAATAAATGCAGTGCCTTTTTTGATATTTTACAGGGTTCTATTTCTGTACTATGGGATATATTGTTGTTTTAAAATAAACAACTTAGTAGAAAATGCATAATCCTGATGCTCTTCTTCCCTAAGATCTTACTGTCTGTGGTTCTGAGTGTTCATGAAACATGCATTTTTCTCTATCTTGCTCTCCTTTCCTCTGTCCTCTTCCACCTGTCTTAGCTTGGGCTGCTATAACAAATGACCGTAGATATGGGGTGGCTTAAACAACAAACATTCATTTCTCAGCTTTCTGGAGGCTAGAAAGTTCAGGATCAGGGTGCTAGCAGACCTGGTGTCTGGTGAGAGCCTGCTTTCTGAATTCCTGCTGACCATCTCTTTGAAGAGAGCAAAGAGATCATCTTTCTTGTGTCTCTTCTTGTAAGGGCACTAATCCAACTCATGAGGGCTCTACCCTCATGACCTAACTACCTCCCCAACACCACACCTACAAATAACATCACATTGGGGATTTCGGCTTCAGTGTACAAATTTTGAGGGGATGCACATGTTCAGCCCAGAGCATACCCTTTCTCTTTTTTTCATTTCCTCCTCATTTCCCTCTCTCCTTTCTTCTTACATAAAGTCTAATCATTTTTGCATGGATAGCTTATTTAGTCTTTATAACAAACCCATATATATATATGTATATATATATATATATATATATATACACACACACACACATATGTATATATATATACACACACACACACACACACATATTTTCTCTTATTATGATCCTCATTCTACCAATGAGGAAAGAATTTTCTTAAGGTCCTAGAACTAGTAAATGGTGGAGCTGGGAATGGAGTCAGTCCGGCTTCCGACTATACTTTATTAAACTTCCTCTCACACTAGAGCTTCCGGTGCTAAGAGTCTGTGTCTCTTTATAGCTAAGCTTCTTAGAATATTAAATGTATCTCAGAGTTTTCTTTAAGTGAGCGACACTATTTCATGTAGCTGTAGGATTCATTGATGAGTCCAGTTGTAAGTTCTCATAGTTTTATTATATTGGTTAAATTTTAATGAAATCCTAAAACATTTCCTCAGTGCTCTACATTTTTTAACCTTCAGTTTTAATCTTCAAAACTTTATTTTGCTTTAGTCTTGAGTATAGAATATAGTTCTTCAAGCATAGTTTAAAAAAAACCCGACATAGCTTTGCTAAAGGCAATCTATACTATTTTGTTTTACTTTGAAAATAGTTTTCCTGAGTTTGCCAGGTTTTCAAGAATATTGTGGGTATATGTCCAGTTAAATAACACTTGAAATTAATCCTGGAAAATAGTATAAATTAATAGGGTGCTTATCCTTATTAGTGTAATCAAAATCTTTTCCCCTATTTTAAGAGGAGCTATTAGTTTGAGCATATTAAGAGGAGAATTTTAATGGAACTCCAAGGGAAGGTTGGGAATAATTTAGTAATAAGTACATAGAAAACTGCACAAGGAAACAAATATAAAAAAGCAAAACACATTATTAACTCTAAGGGAAATTAAGAAGTGATAGAGAAAAAGAAATATAGTTGTAATTATATTGCTAAACTCTGCAAAATAGTTACATACACACAAAACACTAAGTATTGAACTAATAAAAAAAAGCATGATCTATATATAACATTGGAGGAACGAAAGGAAGAGAATGTTAAAATTGTGGGGACGGGTGTTGAGAATTAATATTTTCCTTCCACAATAAGCAGTTAATTGATAGGATCTAAAACTAAAATATCACTTAATGTAAGCTTGTTACTTAGAAACCAGACAATCACTTTAGAAGCTTGAAAGATGAAAACTAACCATTAGATGTGTATATAACAAAATCTAGTTTATGGATGTACTTATTCAGAAATTATATCTGAAATTCAGACTGAAAATGGGATAATTCTTTCCATATGCATCTTATATCAAGGTTCCCAGGCGTCAAGATGATGAGCGGAATAATATATACTTGGAACTAATGCAATATAGAAGTACAGAAAAATATCCTCTCTTACTAGGGAGTGTTAAGGTACACCTTTATGATGTAATTCAGGTAAGTGTCAAGGTTGTTTTTTTCACCGTGGTATCACATTGTTATTATTTATCTGTATCTGATGGACTCCTTTTGGTTTATTATCTACTTTCAAACTCATATGTCTCTCTCTGGCTATATTAAAAAAAAAAGAGTTGGCTTGGAACAGCCTAATATTTTTAAAAACTGATTGTGTGGCAATGGTACAACCTAGGAGACTACATACACATGTTCTGTCATGTTTTCTGGAGTGTTTCTAAACAGGACTCAAATCACAAACTCTGTCTCTTAATTGACTGCCCAGATTTCAGTTGTTTTTCTCCTTGGCTGGGCTGCTTGCCGTCTGCCCTGGGCCTGTGCTGTTCAGGGGTCACCGAAAGTTGGGGGCAAGGTTTGTACACAGATTTTGTCGTTCTTTCTCTCTTGCTTTCTCCTGTCTAGGGTTACTCTTTCACTTGCCAGCAGTCATACTGCCCTGGACTCTAAGGAAGAGAACTGATTAGTGAACCAATCTAAACCATCTGAAGGATTTTCAGGAGTATTTGTTAGGATGCAAAAGCAAGGAGGCCTTCAAAGACTAATGGAGTTTTATCAAAGGACACAGGAGCGAGACTTCAAGGGCTCCTGTTGGCCAATTTCAGGATAATTTGAACATCAAAGACATCATTATAAATTCTGGATAAAGAAAAATCCATAAATCTTGGTGATCTTAAGAAAAAAAAGGGCAGAGGAAGAAAAATGGGATTTAAAAGCTTAGAAACAGAAGAGTGTCAGTATGGAAAGAATGATAGAATTACAGATTTACCGTTTTTGCAGTTCTTTATAGTGAATAATGATTAGTTCAATTGAGACTTACCAATGCTACTTAAAATATTCGGTAAAAAGTTATTGGGGAACAAGATATTTTCACACCACTGTAACAGTCTACATATTAATTTTTGCAAAGGGGAAAAGGTGCCTCTACAGTAGAAGTTTTGGTGACCACTTGAACCAAGAGCTTGAATTTAGCATAAGTAACTATAGGCAACTTAACATCACATGCTTCCTGTGGCCATACGATATGAAGTATACAGCATTACCTGTGAATTGTACTCATCAAAAATGTTCACCCCAAATCTAACCAGTCAGAATTTCTAGTTTATAGGAACTTAGGGGTAGGGAAAAAGTTAATACCATGATGGTACATGGTAAATACATAATATGGGACATACCAGCTTGGATTCTTTAAAAAGTTAAGGTCGGGGCCCCTGACCCAGGGCAACCCCTAGGTTGCTCAACCATATAAGTGTCTGGCTTTTGATTTCGGCTCAGGTCATGATCTCAGGGTCGTGGGATTGAGCCCCAGCTTGGGCTTTGTGCTCAGTGGGGAGCCTGTTTGAGATTCTCCTTCTCCCTCTGCCCCTCTCCCTGATTGCATGCTCACTTGCTCTCTTTAAAATAAATAAATAAAATTTTAAATTTGTCGATGGCTATTTGGATCGTTTCTGTTTTTGTTTTGTTTTGTTTTACTGTTATGCTCATTGTTGCTGTGAATTTTCTTGAACCCACCTTCCAGTGCATTTCTGCAAAAAAGTCTTCACATTGTGATAAATTGCTGAGTCTCTGTTGAACTTCTACCTCATATGGTAAAGAGCCCATTGTTATTTAATGGACAGAGTCATCAGGGAAAGCAACTTCGGTTATTTATGAATTTCCCCAAAAGTCTTCTGATTTTAGCTGTGGTGTGTTCAAGATACGCTGTCTGTGTGTAGTATCTATCAGCATCCTGTAGGCGCTTCTACTGAAAGAACTGTGTCATTTTACTTATTAGAATTTCTTGGTTACCCTCTTTTGGTCAAAATTCTGATCCCAGAAGTACAAAGCTGATCAAAAGGAGTTCAGTATGTTTTTGGTTATTTTTTGCTTTTTGTTTTGTTTTGTTTTATTTTATTTTATTTAGACACACAGAGAGAGAGATCACAAGTAGGCAGAGAGGCAGGCAAAGAGACGGGGGAAGCAGGCTCCCCGCTGAGCAGAGAGCCCAATGCGGGGCTCCTTCCCAGGACCCTGAGATCATGACCTGAGACGAAGCAGAGGCTTAACCCACTGAGCCACCCAGTCGTCCCAATAATAAATTTTTTGAATCTACTTTGTATCCACTCTATTTAAAGTAGCCTAATGGAGTATAAGTCCAATGGATAAATCTGGCCCACTGTAAATAGACACATGGTCTTAAAAAACAAAACAAAACAACTTTTGAGATAATTGTAGATTCACATGCACTTGAAAGAAATAATACAGAGAGATCCTCTGCATTCTTTACTCAGTTTCCCTGGATGGTAACATCTTTCAAAACTAAGGTACTGTATCGCAACCAAGACACATACAGAACGTGCCACCCCCACCAGGATTTCTCATGTTGTTGCCTTTTACAGCTGCATCTCCTTTGCTCCTGCCTCTGCCCCTCCTTAACCCCTGGCAATCACTAATCTGTTCTTCCTTTCTGTAATTCTCTCATTTCCAGGGTGTTACATAAAGGGAATTATGTAGTATGTAATCTTTTCATGTTTTTCTCACTCAGCATGATTTCCAAGGAAGTCATTCAGGTCGTTGCGCATATCACTAGTTCATTTCTTTTTTGCTGTTGAGTAGTACCACGGGGTGTGAACGTACCCCAGTTTGTTTGACCATCTGCCCATTGGAGAACATCTGGGTTTCCAGTCTGGGGCTGTTCTGACTGAAGTTGCTATCAGCATTCATGTACAAGTGTTTGTTTCTCAGATAAATTTCTGGTTTGTAAGATATTTGCATGTATAGTTATTAAAGGAAATGCCGAAGTGTCTTCCAGAGTGACTAAGCCATTGCACATCTTCCCCAGACATGACCGATCCAGTGTCCCAGCATCCTCTTCAGCATTTGGTGTTGCCACCATTCTATACTTTAGCCATTCGGATAGGTTTGTAGTGAGATCTCATCGTGCTATTAATTTGTACTTCCCTAATAGCCAATAATGTTGAACATCTTTTCATGAAGGCCTCTTAATTTATTAATGATTCTACTTTTCTTGAAGTGTTTGCCTGGGGACAGCAAGGTACACAGGCTATTGTACAGACCATACCGCATAGGGCAGTAAAAGGTCAAGGAAAGTAATATAACCTAGAATGATTCTAGACCACAAACTCATGCTCATCTGTCTTGTCTCAAAAGCTTGAGCTGTATCATTTGCTCTTTGGATCACATGCAAGAGTAGATTATATTTAATTCTAGAACTACTAGCTAGGGTAGAATTCCTTGTGCAGACTGGTCAAATGTAGTACTCAGATGAATTGGGAAGACCTGATGACTGGACCCAAAGTATAGATCGTGTTTGGAAGCATGGGAAAGCCATTTGAGTGCACAGTTATTTCATGGGTATACATGAAGAGGACACAGTGTGTTATGATTACCAATTAGTGTCAGTGACTTTCTGAATATAATTGGCCTGATTGGAGAGGATGAAGACCTTGAGATGAATTTTTAAAAATCACAATTTTTTCTTGCAAAGCTCTGTAAAAAATAATTGGTCTGTAGCTTGTGCCAAGAATCCCCTATTTCTTCTTATCCCTGAAATGTCTTGGATTTCTTTGAGGCTCTGGGAGAAACCAGAAAACACTAGCTAATTGTTAAGGCTTAGTGTCCAGTTAAAGCATATAAGTATATTGGAGTTTATAATATTCATGTATAGATTATAACAGGAGTATGATTATTAATTTGGGGATGAATTGTAGTACTACTTGTGGTTGTTGTTTTAGCTATATGATCCTTACCAAATAAGCCTAGGACTAAATGATAAATCCAACAGTTAGAAAGATTGGTAGCCACTGTAATTATTTGAGAAGGGAAAATTCAAAGGTGTAGAATATTATTAGAGTAGTGCCTCCTACAGAATCATACCTCCCTCTACCCGTACCTTTGAGTAGTACAGCATCACCCCCCTGCCCTTCTTGGACTAGGCTTAGACATGTAACTTGCTTTGGGCGGAGCAAAGCCAGATCAGGACAGGTTGCCAAATAGCTCATTGCCACACACTGAAACTCACCAGAGGAGCTGAGTGAAGGCAAGCCTAAAACTCAGTGGATTCAGACGAAATGCACATTCGGGATGAATATTTTAATTGGCTCCAACGAAGACTTAATTGGGCAGATCTCAGTGAGACCGACAGACAAAACTCAAAGACATTTACCACAGTTGAAAGGATGATTAAAAGTTTACTGTACATCTGAAGGAGATGAATCCATCGATAGGTCAAGCTCTCTGATCAGAAGCAGAGGCACAGTTTATGAACGAGAAGAAAAAGGCAGTCTTGAAACAGTGAGATATTGCCCGCCTTCCCACTTTGGGAAAAGGGACGCTGTCAAGAGAAAGAAGCTATAAAGAGCAGATTGACAGGATCGTTAAGAAAATCTATTGCAGTTATTTATGAATTTTTGGAGAAATCTTCTGATTTTATGTGAAGAAAACATATACGCTAATTCTGTGTGATGTCTGCTATTGCATGACTAGCTGTTATGTCCTTCATTATATAGCTTCACCAGGAACTGAGAGGGCAGGTGTGAAATAGGTTCTGCAGGGGCGTGTGGGTGACTCAGTCAGTTAAGTGTCTGCCTTCAGCTCAGGTCATGGTCCCAAGATCCTGGGATCGAGCCTCTAATGGGGCTCCCTGTTCAGCGGGGAGCCTGCTTCTCCCTCTCCCCTTTGCCGGCAGCTCCCCTTGTTTGTGCTCTCTCTTGAGCATGGACACGTGCATGTGCGCTCTCTCTCTCTCTCTCAAACAAATAAAATCTTTATAAATGAATAAGTTCTGCAGATTGCTAGGTTTTGGGGGTGGAGAGGATGTGTGAGCCAGGTGTTGAGGTTTTCACTAAATGAGAATTAGTGACCAGAATGTCAGAAACACATGGCAGACAACATGAAGCTTAAAAATGGAAGACTTAATGTCCGTGTGAACTAGTATGATCTGGAAGCAGTAGAAGGGAGCATGGGGGATGCTATGCCATCTCTTGGCCTTGGGGAGTGTGGGCCTTCACTTGAGGCGTCTGTGAGGGAAGCACCATCCTTCGTGGAAGCCAAGTCTGAGGTAAAGCAAAGAGGGCATGTTGGGTGGAGCAGTCAAGGACGTAAGGTTGTTTGTTAACCATGGAATGGGGAGTCCATGAATTGCAGTGGAAAACACTGGGAAGAAAGGGAACTGTGGGATGGTGGATTAGATGGGAGGACTGATAGGATAGCAGAGATGACCAGAGGTGGGGACCAAGGATACCCAAGGTTTACCTGGCTACAAAGATCCCAGCAGTCCCCGAGGGATGAGAGAGGCCCTCGGTTCTGTCACGAGTCAGTTATTCATACATGTTTGTTAAAAAAAAAAACCCACCAAAGGAGTGCAGGGATGGCACTTCCCTTAAGACTTAGATAAGGGGGAACTATGACTAGCAGGAACGTTTTTGTCTAAAACATAAATGTAAATATTAGCATTTGGTTTTGGCGCAGCCTAGAATTTTTATTTTCTTCCAAACATTCGTTATGGTTGTATTTTAGCTATTAAGTTAACATGTGCATTAAAAATCATTACCTGATTTTTCAAAATTTGTGAAATGTTTTAGATTATATACAGATGGCTACATGAGTGACTCTGTATTTGAGGATTTTATTGTTCTTTCCCTTTTTCTGTTTTCCAGAAAGGGTGTTTTATTGAAGAATTTGAAATATTGCATAAAAACATGGTAAGAACTTTACTGAAATTTCCGAAGTTTTGTACATACACTTAACATTTCATACAACTTGACTCTGATACTGTTTTAACTCCTGGTACTGTTTTTATGCTCCGTTACCCTACCAATCACTGTTTGAATTAATGGAAATATATTAAACAGAAAGAACAATATTCACAAAATCTTCATCTTCACCTTTTTTTTTTTAATGATGTTACTTTACTGCTAAATGATGAACAGAAAAATTGAAATAATTGCATTAGGGAGCAAAATGCCCTATCTGCTTCTTTGTGCAGCTTTAATTGAGGAAATATTTTCTCCTTGAGGAGATTTTAAAGAGTTGTTTACAGTTCTCACTTGAATTTCTTTTTAAATACTTAAAATTATTATTTTGATTAATTGATCTATTCAGAGAGAACTCTGCTGCCAATAGCCAGAACAGAGAATGATGAACATTTGGGGTCATAATCTCTGACACCGTCTTTCATTTCACATTTGAGCAAGCTGGGGTTCAGAGACTTGAAATCACTTGTCCAGATGAAAATTTCATCTGAAAATGGAAGTGGAGGTAGGAAGTAAATGGAAGTGTGAGTAAATAAAAGCATATGCATGTGTGTACACACACACACACACACACACACACACGTATATGTATCTCAGGGTGATCCTATTAATTATAAACTGATATTTCTATATTATAATCATATATTCTATAACATAAAGTTTTTTAACCCTTCAGGAACGCTATAGATTCTTCTCTAGTATTTCCTTGTGTGAATTTTTTTTTTAACCAGGAGATTCACACTTTGGTTTTTCTAACATAGATTTGTGAAATAGAAATATTACTTGCTACCCCATTTTCATTAAAATATCTTTCTGATAAAATAATAAAATGTGCTGTGTGTTTAGCCTATCTGCAAGGTGGCGGTGGAATTTATGTTCTCCTATGGAAACTTTGGTTATGGATTTTCACATCAGGTTAGTTCTTCTTTTTTATTCTACAACACTGCAGTCAAACCTCTTCTGAGCCTCTTTGCTTTCCAGTTTGATAAAAATTTTTAAAATATATATTTTTTAAAAGAACATTTTCAAAGAATGCTATTTTCTCCATCGTAAGGAAAAATGAAACTACTGTTTTTTATTTGCATATACATTTTAAAATAATCTTTAATTCAAAATGCATTTATCAGAAAACTTGCTTTTGTGTGTCTGTGTTTTCATGTGTGAAAACAAAATTATTTTAAGTATATAAGGAGTGTGGATTTTTATATATAAAAATGCTTATTAAAAATGGAGTAATTGATTATATTTGCATGACATTTTTTATTCTGATCCCATATGCTCCTTACCCCCCCCCATGGTATTTCAGTATCCGGTGTTACTTGAGGCCTCCTTGATTTATCAAGAGAGTAATATGTTCAAAGAAGTTATCTTCCTTGCTTTGTCCTGGGCCTTTAAATTTATTACATATATCCGTGTTCCTGTGAAAATTTTTGTGTAGTAAGCTGTGTCCTGTCCTTTTATTATGTGCCTAAGCTAGATTCCTAGAATGGAAATTATTATCCAAAAACAATGACCTTGTCAAAGAATTGTTCTAGAAATGTTGTACCAACATATATTCTCACCAGGTGTTTGAAAGAACTCTTCATATTCCCAGGTATTATCACCACTTTGGGGCATTTATAAATCCAAGCACATTAGTGCTGCTATTATACAGGGACTGTGACCCCTATACTTTGCATATGCTCTTTCTTTTCCATCTTTTGCTAATTTTTTATAGTCTTGGTTGTTCTTTTAATTAGGAATTCAGAGTGGTACGTTACTTTTATTAAACCTACTGTTATGTTAACTGAGCAGCCCTGGTAAAATGTTATTCTAAAATTTTGCCTATGGTATATCATAATGATTTTTAATGCATTTCAAATTAGAAATAATACACAGAAGAAAGCCACTAGGCACAATTTTTTTCATCTTTTTTCCTTCTTTGCTTTGATTTTTCTTTCTTTTCCTTCTGCCTATTTTATTTATATTTGTATGAATTGGGCCTTATAGGGTCTTGTAACTGTAGTTCCTTTCGTGACATAGTTTATAAGCACCAACTTCAGAGGTAGGTTTTGTGTCTAAATATAAGTAAAACATGTAATAATCACCTTCTTAGGGAGATGTCTCCTTTTCAGATAAATTAGGAAAGTATTGTTTTATGGAGGTAGATTCTACCAAAAACAAGGAACCAAGATATTGTGTGGAAAAGAGTAGGAAATACAATAAAAGTTCTTGATTTTGATTTTATATCTGTAAACTTTTTGGTAATATAGTCCCCTACTCATCTGTCTTGATAATGTAAAAAGGGTACTACCCTTGGTGGGGGTGGGAGCAGATAAAGCTGCATTCAAATCCTGGCTCTGATGTCTTTTGGGTAACCTTGAACAAATTACTGATCCTCAGCATTTTCTGTAAAATAGCCACAGTTATCTACATCATAGGATTATTGAGAGAATTAAAAATAATATTACAGATAAAAGGTTCCTGACAGATATCTAGTGCACAATAAATGTTGGTTCTTCATTTTTTTAAATCATTTTTTTTATTTATTTTCAACTTAACAGTATTCATTGTTTTTGTACCGCACCCAGTGCTCCATGCAATCATTAGAGAGGGTTCTTTCTTCATCTTAAGGCCTATTTTGTAGTCCTGGAGGATATAGTATTAGAGTGAACTATAATTGTAACTAAGCAGTGTTATAACACACTTACCATTTTCTTCAGTTAAAACCTCTTCAGAAAATTATCGAGCCATCCATGTTTATGAATATCGCACCACCTCCAGGAAGAATAGATCCTGTGACGTAAGTGTTTGAAGTCTTATTTGCACAATTGGATTATGTGACATTTAAAACACTTAATCCATTTTATGGACCATTTTGGTTGTCTTAAGACATAGCCAGAATGGGCTAGACTCTAAGGAAAACAGAGCAGTGAATTGTTATGCTTAATAAGGTGGGAGAAATTTTTGGGTTTCTGGGTATAGCCCTGGCGAAAGGACATGAGAAATTCTGGAGATAAGATAAAGAAGAGAAGAGAGTGCCAGCTTCATGGCTGAAGGAGGGAAGACGGGGTTAGGCTGATAAGGAAAGTTGGCCAGTGAGATATCCTTTTCTAGAAAGAGGTGAGGGACTTCTAAGATCAAAGTGTCTAATAGTTGTCAGTTTTCCTCTACAATATAGTAGTGTTACCTCCATTCCACGCATTCTAATTGTTTTTTTTCCAAATCTTCAGCAAAAAGTTTATGTTCAAAAAATGTCATTAGTGGGGCACCTGGGTGGCTCAGTCGGTTAAGCCTCTGCCTTCGGCTCAGGTCATGATCTTAGGGCCTAGGATCGTGCCCCACATAGGGCTCTCTGCTCAGCAGGGAGCCTGCTCCCCCCTCTCAGCCTATCACTCTGCCTACTTGTGATCTCTCTCTCTCTCTCTCTCTCTCTGTCAAATTAAAAATCTTTATTAAAAAAGTCATTAGCAAACCAAAAGTAACTTAAAATTTGTCAACCAGACTTCAAATTTCAACAGTAAAAATAGATTAAAGAGTGTAATCTATGGGAGAGGGGGGGTGGGGTTATGGACATTGGGGAGGGTATGTGCTATGGTGAGTGCTGTGAAGTGTGTAAACCTGGCGATTCACAGACCTGTACCCCTGGGGAAAAAAATATATGTTTATAAAAAATTAAAAAAGAGGGAGATTTAGATGAACCTTAAGTATTTTTGTATTTCAGAATTAGTGTTCCTTTTTGCTGACCTCTTTGGTGTATATTTTTGTCTTAACCTTAAATAAAAACATATGCTTAGAGCGAAAAAAAAAAAAAAAGAGTGTAATCTATAGTGCTTTCCCAGATTAAGAAATGGGAAAAAAGGGATTGAGGAAATTAGGTATAGGATGGGAATGTATATTCTGAAGTGCTTATTGTCCTATAGTCTCACCAATACTGGGTATTATCATTAAAAATAAATTTTGCCCACTTGATATTGGTCATTTGTTGAAATAGTAAAATTTGAATGTTTTATGTTTATCAATCATTTTCTTTTTTTTTAAGATTTTATTTATTTATTTGACAGAGAGAGATCACAAGTAGGCAGAGAGGCAGGCAGAGAGAGAGAGGGAAGCAGGCTCCCTGCTGAGCAGAGAGCCTGATGCGGGACTCCATCCCAGGACCCTGAGATCATGACCTGAGCTGAAGGCAGCAGCTTAACCCACTGAGCCACCCAGGCGCCCCAATCATTATTTCTTTATCCACCAATGGATTCAGTAAACATTCATTGAATGTCTGCTATATCCCTAAGCCATTGCAAATACTAAAATAAATGAGGCCTGGTCCCTGCCCTCTCTCTGGTAGCTCATGGTTTAGTGTGCAAAGATAACTTGTGAAAAGAAACTATAACACAAATGAGATAAGAAGCTTCCTGCAGGTAAACGTAAGGAACCCTGGCACATAGGGTGTGGGGTAATGATGGGAGGAACATAAAGTTGGGTCACAGCAAATTTATTGATACGAGCTCACTAAACAGAGATTCTGCATTTAATGTTACAGATTATGGGGTTAGAAAAGACTCAATCTGGTTGTTTGGTTGCAGAAACATGTACCAAAAGATGCCCACTTGGGTGGATTGGAAATGCCAGGCCTGCCTTGGCTTAATGTAGAAGGAATGTATTCAAAGGGTTAAAGAGATGGTGATATTGGTGAGGATTTGTTTTTAAGACCTACTCACTCATCCAGGGAGATTCCAGAAGATAGACCTTTCACCATGACTGTGAGAACTAAATTTGAAGGGGAGCCCCACCCTTGAAGAGCTCTGTGATCTTCTCTGTTAGGCAGACCTTAGAGTGGAAGCTGCAGTCACTGACCTGAGAAACCCAAATGCGATGGGAGTGTAGCGTCCTGCAGTGGCAGAGCCCAGTGATGGCACCACCACCTAAGGCAAGATGAGTGTGGTTACTGTAGTGGACAGTAAAGTCAAAGCAGCAATCAGAATAGTTTGACTCATGCAGACCTATAGCATTGGCTAGTTGATCATGATGTTCCTAGAAATAAAATATATAGAAAGCCTCCCCAATTCTTTTTTTTTTAAAGATTTTATTTATTTATTTGACAGACAGAGATCGCAAGTAGGCAGAGAGGCAGGCAGAGAGAGAGGAGGAAGCAGGCTCCCTGCTTAGCAGAGAGCCCGATGCGGGGCCTGATCCGAGGACCCCGGGATCATGACCTGAGCTGAAGGCAGAGGCTTTAACCCACTGAGCCACCCAGGCGCCCAGCCTCCCCAATTCTTAATCTGTATAAGCAGAAAAGTTCTAGGTCAAGTGAATAAAAGTGTGACCTGGATCGTAAAAACAGAGTCATAGCTCCTCAGTCAATTCCCAGATTTGAGCCAGTTTGCACACCCAAAAGCCTTTGAATGTAGGGGAGGCTTCATCCCCTTAAAGAGAGACGCTGGTATGCTGACAAAAGTTTATAATGTTAATCTTTCTCTAAGCTTTCCCAAAAGGGAAGGAGAGCCTTTTACCAGGGTAACTATGCATTAGGGAAAAGGAAATAATCAGACCTTTCAGAGTCTACTGGACACTGGCTCTAAACTGACACCAGTTCCAGAAGATCCAAATGTTACTTATTTTGGCCTGTGCATAAGACAGATCTTGGAGAGTGATAGTAGATTGTCATAAGCTTAACCAGGCAGTGATTCCAATTGTAGCCACTGTACCAGATGTGGTTTCATTGCTTGAGCAAATTAACACATCTTCTGGTACGTGGTATAAAACTGTTGATCTGGCAAATGCCGTTTTCCCCATATAAAAACCAGAAGTAGATTCTTTCAGCTGGTAAGGCTGAGTGATACACCTTTACTGTCTTATCTCAGGTATATCAACTTCTCCAGCCTTATGTCATTCATTTAGTTCACAGGAAGCTTTTTTTTTTTTTTTAAGATTTATTCATTTTAAAGAGAGAGCATGAGTAGGGAGAGGAGCAGTGGAGAGGGAGAGAAAAAGTCCCAAGCAAACTCCACACTGAGCGTGGAACCTGACACAGGGCTCTATCCCAGAAGCCTGAGATCATGATCTGAGCTGAAACCAAGAGCTGGACGCTTAACCAACCGACTGAGCCACTCAGGTGCCCCACAGTTTACAGGAGTCTTGCTTGCCTTTCCCTTATACAAGATATTACACAGGTCCGTCACAGTGATGACCATTATGCTTATGGGACCTAGTGAACAGGAAATAGTAACTAATCTAGACTGTCTGATAGGACATTTGCATGTCAGAGGATGGAAAGTATTCTAAAAAAATTCAGGGGTCTTCTACCTCATTGAAATTTTGAAGATTCAGTGGTATGGGGATTGTCAAGATAATTCTGCTAAGGCGAAGGATAAGTTGTTCTATCTGGTCCCTTCTACAGCCAAAACAGAGGCACAACACCAGTTGGGCCTTTTTGGATTTTGGAGACAACATATTCCTTATTTGGGTGTGCTACTCTGGCCCATTTGCCAAGTGACCTGAAAAAAAATTATTTATATAATAAATGTATCTTCTTCCATCTCATATCTCCTTCTCATGTAACATAAGGTCTATTGACTTTATATTGTAATATTTAAGTATTGTTAAACTTATAGCATACTATTTTTTAAGTTTCAGGATATTAAGAAGAGTAAACATCATCCAAAGACTTTTAAAACATTTTTTATTTTGTTTTCTCAGTGTCCCAAGACTTGATAGTCTTTTCTAGGGAAGAGGCTAATGAGGTTTTGGTTGTATGCAGGATAGTTGTATCATGTTAGGTGGAATTATGACCTGTTAATTGTTCTCATTTGGAGATTAAATATGTTTTAAAGAGATGCTTATGGGGGCCAGGTTGGCAAGGGGTGGGTTGACTTGTGATGATTACTTTCACATGTCAACTTGACTGGGCCATAAAATAGAGATTTGTATCTAAAGATTGGCAGAGAGGTCTGGGCTCAAACACTGTCTACTTCTCTTTAGAATTCCAGGTCCTTACCTCCTTTTTCATCCCTGCTGCTCATCTTAGTAGTAAGAGTATTCAAAAGAGCACTTCTGTCAGGATTTCTGACCTTTGTCATCTTCCCTAGCTCTACCCTTTGATGGTTCAAGGTAGACAGGTGAATTTACAGTCTAAAAGAGAGAATGATTCAAAAGTGATAGCTACCACTGATTTTAGAAGTGTGGTTTTGTATAATTGCAATATTTAACATTATAAACATTTTGCAGAAATGTTATTACACCACAACTGATAGAGTATCCAGCATTCCTATCCCCAGACCTGAATGTTACTGTTGGGACGCCAGCTGTAGTGCCCAACCAGTCGTCTGTAGTGCGACTTGAAAAACTTCAGCAACAACCTCGGGAAAGGTAAATACATACATACATACATGCATACATACATATATACCAACACAACCCAAACAATCTTCATCTTATTTATGTGTTAGTGGGACATTATTATTATTTTTTTGCATGGGGGGCATATGGGCTTTAGGTATTTGTTTAGAAAAGTCAATGTTTATTGACTCTGTAATGCATATGGTGGTTCACTTTGTTGTGTCCTATGAGTCCTTCAAGCTATCTTTACTCTATTTCATTTTTTTTTCTTTTTGTTCTTCTGATTGGATAAATTCCTTTGCCATCTCTTTGAGTTTTCCAGTACTTTCTTCCACATCATCTAGTGCTCTTGAGCCCTCTATTGAATTTTTCAGTCCAGTTATTGTGTTCTTTAGCTCTGTGATTTCTATTTGCTACTTTTTTATATTTTATATCTCTTTGTTGCAATTCTCACTTCATTTATGAATTTTTCTCCTGAAAAATGAGCATCATTATGACCATGATTTTGAATTCTTTTTTTGAAAATTATTTATTTATTTGAGAGAGAGAGAGAGAACAGAGTAAGTGAGAACATAAGTGAGTGGGGACAGAGGGAGAGGGAGAAGCAGACTCCCCATTGAGCAGGGAGCCCCATGCGTGACTTAATCCCAGGACCCCAGGATCATGATCTGAGCCGAAGGCAGACACTTAACCTACTGAGACACCCAGGTGCCCCTCATTATATTTCATTACAGCCTGTTTCTAGAGTTTTGTTTTATTTATTTGTTTGGAACTTAATGTTTCTGGAGTTTTATGTTGCTGTTCTGTTCTCGTTGTTCTCTTTCTTCATTTACCCTCACTCTCTGTGTTGGTTTCTGAGCACTAGATGAAACTGCCACCTTTCCTAGTCTAGATGAAGTCGTCTCATGGTGGGAAATGAGAAGGAAACTTATCAAGGAAACCAGCCCAAGATTTTGGCTGTCTCTCAAACCTTTGTGATTGTCCAAGCAGCTTTCCTTTTTTTCTTAATGGCTTCCAGTTGTTGAGAGTGTGTCAGAATTTGTCAATATTCCAAAGAGGAAGATTTCCGCATCTAGATTCAGGCTGACTGGAAGCTGAACCTCAAGTCACCTCATGGGAAAGTATGTATCTAGAGCCCTTTCTTGGAGAAACCAGGAGAAGGGCTTTCTTGCCTGCTCCCTTTGTGCCCAGCTCCCTTAGGGTGTAGCCACTAGGGTGGAAGTCATTCCTGCACCCATTGAGAACTGCTTCTTTGTGTGCTGAAGTTCCGTGGGACTGTCACCAGTCCAAGCCCCATTGGTTATGATAGCCAAACAATCTAGGGGCCCATCTCCTTGGCAATGGCCACAAAGTCTGGGGTGCCAGATGTCTGTATAAGCTCCTTCCAGGGAGATACTGATGATCTGGATTGGGCTAGAGAGAGGAGGAGATAGTGTCTCTGGGCTTCCACAGGTCTCTAACAAGGGTTGCAATCAACCCCTGGATGCATACTCAATTAGAAGCCTGACCTCCAAATAGTAGCTTTTAAATACAGTAGGCCTTTTTGGAGACTAACTGGGAGATGAACTTATTTTTGCACTAATTTCTTCTGTGCCGAGTGCTGAGCAGATAGCGTGGTAAATCATAGCAGACCTATGAAAAACTTTTTATTTTTTCTGTAGCCTTATGGGTCTTGTGGTCACAACTGTGTTAACTGTATTAACAGAAATAGGTGTTTTGGGGGCCTGTCCCTCAGATGGGAGTCTTGAAAGGTGGGGTGCTATGTGTGTTGTCCAACCCTTTTTCTCGTCAGGGAGATGCTGGGAGTTGAGAGTTCTGTCCCGTTTGTATGACACTGTGCCAGCGATGGAGTTTCTAATATGTGCCTCATCCTTTCTCAGCTGTTTTGATGTGTGTATTTTCTCATTTGCATGATGTATAGGAGTTGCTCAGCCTATTTCTCGATTTCTTTCAGAGAGAATTGCTCTTTGTAGAACTGTAGGTACCATGCATACTTGGGAGGAGGTGAGTTCAGGAGCCTGCTTACCATCTTGAGTTAGAAACTTCAAATTTCTTTAATGTCTTGCCTAATAGTATGCAACCGGATCCTCATAACTGCTTCCACATTTAAACACAGTGGCTCCAGCTGCAGAACTTCTGCTTATATGGCTCATAGTGACAGTGACCGCTACTGCTCTCATTTCTCTCCTGTAGCTTCACCAGCTGATCCCTTCTTCTTAGCAAAATGGGTCCCAGTGAGTCATCTTGCCATTGTGTTCACTGACTCTACATGTATTTTTCTTGCCTGCTTTCAAAGTCAAGAGTTGTTATTCTGCTCCTTATTCTCTTCTTCTTATAACTACTCTGGAACTTGGTGCTGATAGTTTTATCTTACTCAGTTTTATATGGAATTAATTTTCCTGATATTTTTTAATAGGAGATATAGTTTAGAAAGCCTCTTGAGCCTCACAGAACTCCCACTATTAATGTTTTCATTTAGTGTTTAAAAATATGACTTGCTTTCTAGGATTTTCTGGGACCATGCCAGTCAATGTCTCATGTAAATGGCAAGGGTGGACATCCTTGTTTTTGTTCATGATCTTTAAAGGCTACACTTCTAACATTTAATAGTTAAGAGCATTTGCTTATATAGGTTTTTTATATATAGATATGCTATACCACATCAAGTAAATTATTCCACTTTGTTCCAGTTTTCTAAGTTTCTTTAAAACCACAAATGGATGTTGGATTTTTGCCAAATGTTTTTTCTCCTTTAATCAGTTAAATTGTATTTATGTTTTCTAATTTTAATGTCAAAATATCCTTGTATACCTGGAATAAATCTAATTTGTTCATAATATATTATCTTTTTTCTATATTACTGGATTTTTTGTATTAAAATTATATTTTTAACATTTGCATCTATGTTAATGAATGGGATTATTTTTATAATGTCCTTATTAGAGTTTATCATCAAGGTAGTAATGTCCTCATGAAATGAATTGGAAAACATTCCCTCTTTTCTATTTAATTCTTGTCGGTTACATCTTAAGATGACCAAAGCCTTTTTTTTTTTAATTTTTATTTATTTTTTAAATTTCTTTTCAGTGTTCCAGAATTCATTGTTTATGCACCACACCCAGTACTCCATGCAATACATACCCTCCATAATACCCACCACCAGGCTCACCCAACCCACCCCCACCCCTCCAAAACCCTCAGATTGTTTTTCAGAGTCCAAAGTCTCTCATGGTTCATCTCCCCCTCCAATTTCCCCCAGCTCTCTTCTCCTCTCTAGCTCCCCATGTCCTCTGTGTTATTCCTTATGCTCCACAAATAAGCAAAACCGTATGATAATTGACTCTCTCTCTGCTTGACTTATTTCACTCAGCATAATCTCTTCCAGTCCCATCCATGTTGATGCAAAAGTTGGGTATTCATCTTTCTGATGGAAGCATAATACTCTGTAGTATATATGGACCACATCTTCCTTATCCATTCGTAGGTTGAAGGGCATCTTAGTATTAGAATTCCCAGCAACAGCAATCAGACAACAAAGAGAAATAAAAGGTATTCAAATTGGCAATGAAGAAGTCAAGCTCTCTCTCTTAGCAGATGACATGATACTTTATATGGAAAACCCAAAAGATTCCACCCCCAAACTACTAGAACTCATTCAGCAATTCAGTAATGTGGCAGGATACAAAATCAATGTACAGAAATCAGTTGCTTTCTTATACACTAACAATGAAAATACAGAAAGGGAAATTAGAGAATCTATTCCATTTACTATAGCACCAAGAACGATAAGATACCTGTGAATAAACCTAACCAAAGAGGTAAAGGATCTGTACTCGAGGAACTACAGAACAGTCATGAAAGAAATTGAAGAAGACACAAAAAGATGTAAGACCATCCCATGCCAATGAATCAGAAAAATAAACACTGTTAAAATGTCTATACGGCCTAGAGCAATCTATACTTTTAATGCCATTCCGATCAAAATTCCACCAGCATTTTTCAAAGAGCTGGAGCAAACAATCCTAAAATTTGTATGGAATCAGGAGACACCCCAAATTGCTAAGGAAATGTTGAAAAAGAAAACAAAACTGGGGGCATCATGTTGCCTGATTACAAGCTTTACTACAAAGCTGTGATCACCAAGATATCATGGTACTGGCACAAAAACAGACACATAGACCAGTGGAATAGAGTAGAGAGCCCAGATATGCACCCTCAAATCTATGGTCAAATAATCTTTGACAAAGCAGGAAAAAATATACAGTGGAAAAAAGACCATCTCTTCAATAAATTGTGCTGGGAAAATTGGACAGCTATGTAGAAGAATGAAACTCGACTATTCTCTTATACCATACACAAAGATAAACTCAAAATGGATAAAAGACCTCAATATGAGGCAGGAATCCAACAGAATCCTAGAGGAAAACATAGGCAGTAACCTCTTTGACATCGGCCACAGCAACTCTTTTCAAGATACGGCTCCAAAGGCAAAGGAAACAAAAGCGAAAATGAATTTTTGGGACTTCATCAAGATCAAAAGCTTCTGCACAGCAAAGGAAACAGTCAACAAAACAAAGAGGCAACCCATGGAATGGAAGAAGATATTCACAAATGACAATACAGAAAAAGGGCTGATATCCAGGATCTATAAAGAACTCCTCAAACTCAACACACACAAAACAGATAATCATGTCAAAAAATGGGCAGAAGACATGAACAGACACTTCTCCAATAAAGACATACAAATGGCTAACAGACACATGAAAAAATGTTTGTCATCACTAGCCATCAGGGAGATTCAAATCAAAACCACATTGAGATACCACCTTACATCAGTTAGAATGGCCAAAATTAACAAGACAGTAAACAATGTGTGTTGAAAAGGATGTGGAGAAAGGGGAACCCTCTTAAACTGTTGGTGAGAAGGCAAGTTGGTGCAGCCACTTTGGAAAACAGTGTGGAGATTCCTTAAGAAATTAAAAATAGAGTTTCCCTATGACCCTGCAATTGCACTACTAGGTATTTACCCCAAAGATACAGAGGTAGTGAAAAGAAGGGCTATCTGTACTCCAATGTTCATAGCAGCAATGGCCACAGTTGCCAAACTGTGGAAAGAACCAAGATGACCAAAGCCTTTTGAAATTTCTTGGATTAGAAGCTAAATTCCTATTTTTTCTTTTGTTCTGTTGCAGAAAATATCATGTATATATTGAATAATTTATTGTGTGTGTGTATATATATATGTATATACACACACACACATATATATATTAAAACTTTAGATAATGAGACCAATATATATATTAAATAACTTCTAAAACTATATATAGCTTAAATAAACATAATAAGACGATGCCTAGATATTTATGATTCAGGTTAAGAAATACAACATTGGGGCACTTGGGTGGCTCGGTTGGTTAAGCTTCTGACTCTTGGTTTTGGCTCAAGTCATCATTTTAAAGTCGTGAGATTGAGCTTTGCAAGGGGCTCCATGCTCAGCATGGAGTCTGCTTGAGATTCTCTCTCCCTTCCTCTCTCCCTCTGCCCCTTCCCTCACTTGTATACTCTCTTTCTCAAACAAACAACAAAATCTTAAAAAAAAAAAAAATGAAAGAAATACAATATCGCTATATTGGGAGTCCTAGCTATAGCAGTCACACAATGAAAATAAATAAAAGGCATCTACACTGGCAAGGAAGAAGTTAAACTATCACTAGTTGCAGATGACATGACACTTTATATAGAAAATCCAAAAGATTCCACCAAAAATTGTTAGAACTGCTACATGAATTGAGTAAAGTTGCAGGATGCAAAAATCAATATACAGAAATCTGTTGCATTCCATACATCAATAATGAAACAGCAGAAAGAGACATCAAGGAATCAACCCCATTTATAATTGCACCAGAAACCATGAGACACTTAGGAATAAACCTAACCAAAGAGGTAAAAAAAAAACCTGTACTCTGAAAACTATAAAACACCGATGAAAGAATATGAAGATGAAACAAAGAAATGGAAAAACACTCCATGCTCATGGATCAGAACAATGAACATTGTTAAAATATCTATGCTACCCAAAGCAATCTACACATTTAATGCAATCTCTATAAAATACTAAATGCATTTTTCACAGAGCTAGAACAAACAATCCTCAAATTTGTAAGGAACCACAAAAGACCCCAAATAGCCAAAACAACCTTCAAAAAGAAAAGCAGAGCTGGAAGCATCACAATTCTAGACTTGAAGTTATCTTATAAAGTTGTAGTGATCAAGGCAGTATGGTACTAGCACAAAAACAGATACATAGATTAATGGAAAAATGAACCTACAATTAAATGGTCAATCTTCAACAAAGCAGGAAAGAATATCCAATGGAAAAAAGAATATCCAATGGAAAAAAAGTCTCTTCAACAAATAGTGGGAAAATTGGACAGCAACATGCAAAAGAGTGAAATGGGATCATTTTCTTAAAACTGTACCCAAAAATAAATTTAAAACCATTTAGAAACCTAAATATAAGACAGGAATCTATTAAAAAAATCCTAGAGGAGGGGCACCTGGGTGGCTCAGTGGGTTAAGCCACTGCCTTCGACTCAGGTCATGGTCTCAGGGTCCTGGGATCAAGCCCCACATCAGGCTCTCTGCTCAGCGGGGAGCCTGCTTCCCCCTGCCTCTCTGCCTACTTGTGATCTCTCTCTCTTTCTCTCTCTCTGTCAAATAAATAAAATCTTAAAAAAAAAAATTAAAAAAAAAAATCCTAGAGGAGAACAGAGGCAGTAACCTCTTACATTGGTCATACCACCTCCTTATTAGATATGTCTCCTGATGCAAGGGAAACAAAAGCAAAAATAAACAATTGGGACTTCATCAAAATAAAAAATTTCTGTGTAGCGAAGGAAACAGCCAAACTACAAGGCCATGTACTGAATGGGAGAAGATATTTACAAAGGACATATATCTGATAAAGGGTTAGTATCCAAAAGTCTATAAAGAACTCATCAAATGCAACACCCCAAAACCAAATAATCCAGTTAGGAAATGGGCGGAACACATGAATTAGATACTCTTCTAAAGAAGACATACAGATGGCTAACAGACACATGAAAAAATGCTCAACATCACTCATCATCAGGGAAATACAAATCAAAACTACAACGAAATATCACCTCCATTTGTCAGAATGCCTAAATTTAACAACACAAGAAACAATAGGTGTTAGCAAGGATGTGGAATAAAGGCGAATTTATTCCCCTTTACTAACAGCTTACACTGTTGGTGGGAATGCAAACTGGTACAGCCATCTTGGAAAACCGTATGGAGTTTCCTCAAAAAGTTAAAAGTAGAACTACACTATGATCCAGCAGTTGCACTACTAGGTATTTACCCAAGATTACAAAAATACTAATTCAAAGGGATACATGCACCTCAATGTTTATAGCAGCATTATTAACAATAGAAATTATGGAAAGAGCCCAAAAGTCCACTGACTGATGAATGGATAAAGAAATCTTGCCATTTGCAACAACATGGATGGAGCTAGAGTAAGCAAAATAAGTCAGTCAGAGAAAGACAAATACCATATGATCTTACTCATATGTGGAATTTAAGAAATGATCATGGAAGAATAAAGAGAGACAAAACAAGAAACATCTTCTTAACTATAAAGAACAAACTGATGGTTAGAAGAAGGGAGCTGGTGGTGGGGGAGGGTTAAATAGGTGATGGGAATTAAGGAGCACACCTGTTGCGATGAGCACTGGGTGTTGTATGGAAGTGTTGAACCACTAAACTGTACACCTGAAACTCTTATTACACTGTATCTTAACTGGAATTTAAATAACTTTAAAAAAAAGAAATAGAACATCAATAGTAAAAATGTGTTTTGTATGCCCTCGTGAGATTCCATCTTCTCCCCAACCCATCCTTAGGTAACTACAGCTCTGACTTCTGTTGTAATTGTTCCTTTTCCTTTCACTGTATCCTTAAACAAAATATTGCTGGTTTGCCTCTCTAAGAAAAATTTTGTAAGTGGATCATACTGTATGTATTCTCTTGTGAATCATACCATATGTGTTCTTCTGTCACATTTTAAATGTATAACTGATTTATTTCTTTAGGCTGGAAAAAATGAAAAAAGAATACAGAAATCTGAATACATGGATAGAAAAAGCTAACTATTTAGAAGGAGTTCTTAACCCAAAAATGGCCCATAAAGAACTTAAGGTAATTAACATAATACATTCTCTACATATAACTTCTAATACTTTTTATTTGGAAAAGATTGTGATAATTAAAAGCGATAAGATATTGCTTATTCTTGATATATAAAATGCTATTCATGGCTCATGTACTTTACTATTTTGGTAATTGACATTAGATAAATATTGACTAATAATTTGTAAGATTTAATTTTTTAACAGCTTTGTTAAGATGTAATTCACCTATTCAAAGTATACAATTCAGGGGCACCTGGTGGTTCAGTGGGTTAAAGCCTCTGCCTTTAGCTTGGGTCATGATCTCTGGGTCCTGGGATCGAGCCCCGCATCGGGCTCTCTGCTTGGCAGGGAGCTTTCCTCCCCACCCCCTCTGCCTGCCTCTCTGCCTACTTGTGATTTTTGTCTGTCAAATAAATAAGTAAAATCTTTAAAAAAAAAAACCAAAATATACAATTCAGTGGCCCTTACTATATTCATAGAGTTGTATGTCAATTGCTATGATCAGTTTTCAGATATTCTCATTACCCACAAAAGAAACTCCACACCCCTTAACCAAACCTCCCAGACCCCCTGTTCTCTAGACAATAACCAGTCAACTTTCTGTTTCTATAGATTTGCTTATTCTAAACATTTCATTTGAGTGAAATCATATAATATATGGTTCTTTTGTGACTTGCTTCTTTCACTTAGCATAGTGTTTTCAGGGATCATCCCCATTGTACCATGTATCAACACTTTCTTTTTACTGCCAAATAATATTCCACTATATGGATATGTACCACGTTTTGTTTATCCTCATTAGTTGCTGGACATTTGAGTTGTTTGACTTTTTAGCTGTCATGAATAATGCTGCTGTGAACATTCCTGTGCAGGTTTTATGTGAGCATACGTTTGTAATTCTCTTGGGTCTATACTGAGGAGTAGGATTGTTGGATCATATAGTAGTTCCCTCTTTAACTTTTTCAGGAGCTACCAAACTGCTTTCTATAGCGGCTGCACAGTTTTACATCTAACTAGCAATGTATGAAGCTTCCATATCTTCTCCAAAACTTGTTATTTTCCTTTATGTTTGTTTCAGTTATAGAACTCTTAGTGGGTTTGAAGTGTTATCTCATTGTGGTTTTGATTTGCATTTGCCTGATAACCAATAATGTGAACATCTTTTCATGTGCTTACTGACCTTTTGTATATCTTTGGATAAATGTTTATTGAAATCCTCTGTTGATTTTAAATTGTTTTTTTTTTATTGTTCAGTTATAAGAGTTCTTTGTATTTGGAGTACTAGACCTTTATCAGATATAAAAGTATGGTTTAATATTTAGAAATACAGTCTGACCTTTACATTTTGACCTGGCAATAGGGATTCATAGGAGTTTCAGTGAATTAATAAAAATATTACTAAGATCATAGCCTTGAAATGGTAGTCATAGCATACTGATATATTAATGTTTTTCAATGCCTCATTATAGTTTGGCATAGTGGTATTACCTTAGGATAAATTAATCAGCACTTATACAGAATTAGTATTTTAGGGAAAATTTGAAGGGCTCTTCATTCATTAAAGGAACTATAGACTTCTGGTTCTTTTCTTTTTTCTTTCTAATTTTATTTTTTAGATTTTTTAAAATTTTTTTTCAGCATAACAGTATTCCTTGTTTTTGCACCACACCCAGTGCTCCATGCAATCCATGCCCTCTCCAATACCCACTACCTGGTTCCCCCAACTTCCCACCCCCTGCTGCTTCGAACCCCTCAATTTTTTAAATTAACATATAATGTATTATTAGCCCCAGGGGTATAGGTCTGTGAATCGTCAGGCTTACACACTTCACAGCACTCACCATAGCACATACCCTCCCCAATGTCCATAACTCAACCACCCTCTCCCTACCCCCCCTCCCCCTGGCAACCCTCAGTTTCTTTTGTGAGATTAAGAGTTTCTTATGGTTTGTCTCCCTCCCGATCCCATCTTGTTTCATTTTTTCCTCCCCTACTCCTCAAAACCCCCACTCTGCCTCTCAAATTCCTCATATCGGGGAGATCGTATGATAATTGTCTTTCTCTGATTGACTTATTTCGCTCAGCATAACACCCTCTAGTTCCATCCACGTCGTTGCAAATGGCAAGATTCCATTTCTTTTGATGGCTGCATAGTATTCCTCTGTGTGTGTGTGTGTGTGTGTGTGTGTGTGTATACACATACCACATCTTCTTTGTCCATTCATCTGTTGATGGACATCTAGGTTCTTTCCATAGTTTGGCTATTGTGGACAGTGCTGCTATAAACATTCGAGTGCACATGCCCCTTCAGATCACTACATTTGTATCTTTAGGGTAAATACCCAGTAGTGCGATTGCTGGGTCATAAGGTAGCACTATTTTCAACTTCTTGAGGAACCTCCATGCTGTTTTCCAGAATGGCTGCACAAGTTTGCATTCCCACCAACAGTGTGTGTGGGAGGGTTCTCCTTTCTCTGCATCCTTGCCAACATCTGTTGTTTCCTGACTTGTTAATTTTAGCTATTCTGACTGGTGTGAGGTGGTATCTCGTTGTGGTTTTGATTTGTATTTCCCTGATGCCAAGTGATGTGGAGCACTTTTAATGTGTCTTTTGGCCATCTGGATGTCTTCTTGGCAGAAATGTGTGTTCATGTCCTCTGTCCATTTCTTGATTGGATTATTTGTTTTTGGGGTGTTGAGTTTGATAAGTTCTTTATGGATTTTGGATACTAGCCCTTTATCTGATATGTCATTTGCAAATATCTTCTCCCATTCTGTCGGTTGTCTTTTGTTTTTTTTTACTGTTTCCTTTGCTGTGCAAAAGCTTTTGATCTTGATGAAGTCCCAATAGTTCATTTTTGCCCTTGCTTCCCTTGCATTTGGCGATGTTTCTAGAAAGAAGTTGCTGTGGCTGAGGTCAAAGAAGTTGTTGCCTGTGTTCTCCTCAAGATTTTGATGGATTCCTTTCTCACATTGAGGTTCTTCATCCATTTTGAGTCTATTTTCATGTGTGGTGTAAGGAAATTGTCCAGTTTCATTTTTCTGCATGTGGTTGTCCAATTTTCCCAACACCATTTTTTGAAGAGACTGTCTTTTTTCCATTGGACATTCTTTCCTGCTTTGTCAAAGATTAGTTGACTATAGAGTTGAGGGTCTATTTCTGGGCTCTCTATTCCGTTCCACTGATCTATGTGTCTATTTTTGTGCCAGTACCATACTGTCTTGAAGATTACAGCTTTGTAATTGAGCTTGAAGTCTGCAATTGTGATGCCACCACCTTTGGCTTTCTTTTTCAACATTCCTCTAGCTATTGGAGGTCTTTTCTGGTTGCATATAAATTTTAGGATTATTTGTTCCATTTCTTTGAAAAAAAAAGGATGGCATTATGATAGGGATTGCATTAAATGTGTAGATTGCTTTAGGTAGCATAGACATTTTCACAATATTTGTTCTTCCAATCCATGAGCATGGAACATTTTTCTATTTCTTTGTGTCTTCCTCAGTTTCTTTCATGAGTACTTTATAGTTTTCTGAGTACAGATTCTTTGCCTCTTTCATTAGGTTTATTCCTAGGTATCTTTTATGGTTTTGGGTGCAATTGTAAATGGGATCAACTCCTTAATTTCTCTTTCTTCTGTCTTGTTGTTGGTGTATAGAAATTCAACTGATTTCTCTGCATTGATTTTATATCCTGATATTTTACTGAATTCCTGTACAAGTTCTAGCAGATTTGGAGTGGAGTCTTTTGGGTTTTCCACATATAGTATCATATAATCTGCAAAGAGTGAGAGTTTGACTTCTTCTTTGCCGATTTGGATGCCTTTAATTTCTTTTTGTTGTCTGATTGCTGAGGCTAGGATTTCTAGTACTATGTTGAATAGCGGTGGTGATAATGGACATCCCTGCCATGTTCCTGACCTTAGCAGAAAAGCTCTCAGTTTTTCTCCATTGAGGATGATATTTGCTATGGGTTTTTCATAGATGGCTTTGATAATATTGAGGTATGTGCCCTCTGTCCCTACACTTTGAACAGTTTTGATCAGGAAGGGATGCTGTACTTTGTCAAATGCTTTTTCAGCATCCATTGAGAGTATCATATGGTTCTTGTTCTTTCTCTTATTAATATATTGTATCACATTGATTGATTTGGGGATGTTGAACCCACCTTGCAGCCCAGGAATAAATCCCACTTGGTCATGGTCAATAATCCTTTTAATGTACTGTTGGATCCTATTGGCTAGTATTTTGGTGAGAATTTTCACATTTGTGTTCATCAGGGATATTGGTCTGTAATTCTTTTTTTATTTTTATTTTTTTGATGGGGTCTTTGTTTGGTCTTAGGATCAAGGTAATGCTGGCCTCATAAAATGAGTTTGGAAGTTTTCCTTCCATTTCTATTTTTTGGAACAGTTTCAGGAGAATAGGTATTAATTCTTCTCTAAATGTTTGGTAGAATTCCCCTGGGAAGCCGTCTGGCTCTGGGCTCTTGTTTCTTGGGAGATTTTTGATGACTGCTTCAATCTCCTTACTGGTTATGGGTCTGTTCAGGTTTTCTGTTTCTTCCTGGTTCAGTTTTGGTAGTGTATACACCTCTAGGAATGTATCCATTTCTTCCTGATTGTCAAATTTGCTGGCGTAAGTTGCTCATAATATGTTCTTATAATTGTTTGTATTTCTTTGGTGTTAGTTGTGATCTCTCCTCTTTCATTCATGATTTTATTAATTTGGGTCCTTTCTCTTTTCTTTTTGATAAGTCTGGCCAGGGGTTTATCTTATTAATTCTTTCAAAGAACCAGCTCCTAGTTTCATTGATTTGTTCTACTGTTTTGTTTTGTTTTTAATTTCTGCTCTGATCTTTATTTCTCTTCTCCTGCTGGGTTTAGGCTTTCTTTGCTGTCCTTTCTCCAGCTCCTTTAGGTGTAGGGTTAGGTTATGTATTTGAGACCTTTCTTGTTTCTTGAGAAAGGCTTGTATCGCTATATATTTTCCTGTCAGGACTGCCTTTGCTGTGTCCCACAGATTTTGAACAGTTGTGTTTTCATTTTCATTTATTTCTATGAATTTTTTCAATTCTTCTTTAATTTCCTGGTTGACCCTTCATTCTTAAGAAGGATGCTCTTTAGTCTCCATGTATTTGGGTTCTTTCCAAATTTTCTCTGGTGATTGAGTCCTAGCTTCAGAGTATTGTGGTCTGAAAATATGCAGGAATGATCCCAATCTTTTGGTACTGGCTGAGACCTGATTTGTGACCCAGGATGTGATCTATTCTGGAGAATGTTCCATTTGCATTAGAGAAGAATGTGTATTCTGTTGCTTTGGGTTGGAATGTTCTGAATATATCTGTGATGTGCATCTGATCCAGTGTGTCATTTAAGGCCTTTCTTTCCTTGTTGATCTTTTGCTTAGATGATCTGTCCATTTCAGTGAGGGGGGTGTTTAAGTCCCCTGCTATTATTGTATTATTATTGATGTGTTTCTTTGATTTTGTTATTAATTGGTTTATATAGTGGGCTGCTCCCATGTTAGGGGCATAGGTATTTAAAATTGTTAGATCTTCTTGTTGGACAGACCCTTGGAGTATGATATAGTGTCCTTCCTCATCTCTTATTATAGTCTTTGGCTGAAAATCTAATTGATATAAGGATTGCCACCCCAGTTTTCTTTTGATGTCCATTAGCATGGTAAATTGTTTTCCACCCCCTCACTTTAAATCTGGAGTGTCTTTGGGTCTAAAATGAGTTTCTTATAGACAGCACATTGATGGGTTTTTGTTGGTGTTGTTGTTGCTTTTTATCCATTCTGATACCCTGTGTCTTTTGATTGGGGCATTTAGCCCATTTACATTCAGGGTAACTATTGAGAGATATTTAGTGCCATTGTATTGTCTGTAAGGTGACTGTTACTGTATATTGTGTCTGTTCCTTTCTGGTCTGTTCTTTTTAGGCTCTCTCTTTGCTTAGAGGACCCCTTTCGATATTTCATGTATGGCTGGTTTGGTGTTTACAAATTCTTTTCGTTTTTGTTTGTCCTGGAAGCTTTTTATCTCTCCTTCTATTTTCAATGATATCCTAGCTGAATATAGTATTCTTGGCTGCATATTTTTCTCATTTAGTGCTCTGAACATATCATGCCAGTTCTTTCTGGCCTGCCAGGTCTCTGTGTAGGTCTGCTGCCAATCTCATATTTTTACCATTGTATGTTACAGACTTCTTGTCCTGGGCTTCTTTCAGGATTTTCTCTTTGTCACTAAGAGTTGTAAGTTTTACTATTAGATGATAGGATGTGGACCTATTTTTATTGATTTTGATGGGGGTTCTCTGTGCCTCCTGGATTTTGATGCTTGTTCCCTTTGCCATATTAGAGAAATTCGCTACAATAATTCTCTCCAATATACCTTCTGCCCCCCTCTCTCTTTCTTCTTCTTCTGGAATCCCAATTATTCTAATATTGTTTCATGTTATGGTATCACTTATCTCTCAAATTCTCCCCTCATGGTCCAGTAGTTGTAGACTCTCTTTTGCTCAACTTCTTTACTCTCTGTCATTTAGTCTTTTTTTTAATCACTAATTCTCTCTTCTGCTTTATTTATCCTAGCAGTAAGAGCCTCCATTTTTGTATTGCTCCTTATTAATAGCTTTTCTGATTACAGCTTGGTTAGACTCTATTTCTCCAGACAGGGTTTCTCTAATATCTTCCATGCCTTTTTTGAGCCCAGCTAGCACCTTGAGAATAGTCATTCTGAACTCTAGATCTGACATATTACCAATGTCCATATTGATTGGGTCCCTAGCCTTCGGTACTGCCTCTTGTTCTTTTTTTTTGTGGTGAGTTTTTCTGCCTTTTCTGTCATTTTATCCAGATAAGAATATATGAACAAGAGAATAAAATACTAAAAAAGTGGCAAAAACCACAGAAAAATGTATGCTAACCAAATCAGAAGAGACCCCAAATTGTGGGGAGAAGAAAGGGGATAAAAATAAGTTTAAAAAAAATTTTTAAAAAGGTGCACACACCTTTTTTTAAAAATTATATATATATATGTATATATATACATATATATATATAATGAAATATATATTTTAGACTGGTGAATAGAACAGAGCCACCCACTTGGTTTTGGGTGTATTTTGGTCTCTTAGAAGAAACTACCTCCCTGCAATATGTGTGTCCATAGTACTGGGTGTGGTGCATAAACAGTGAATTCTGGAACACTGAAAAGAAATTTAAAAAATAAAGAAAAATTTTTATAAAAGGAAACTACCTCCCAAAATTTTAAAGAAAGAAAAACTTATATATATATATACAAAAATAAGGGTAAACACAATGAAGCGATGGAATAGGACTGTAAATATGACTGTAAAGATGAAAAATTTTTAAAAGAATCCTAAAGGAGGAATTGATAAGTTGTTTGGAAAAAGAAAGAAGAAAAAAAAGGGGGCGTTGGAGTATGTGCTCAGGCTGGAGACTAGAACAAAGCCCTGTGCTAGATTTAGGGTATATTTTAATCTATTGGAAGAAATTGTATCCCAAAATTTTTTCAAAGAAAAAACCCTATATGTATACAAAAAATAAAGTTAGACACAATGAAGGATAAAATATGACTATAATAATGAAGGTTCAAAAAGATTTTTTCTTTAGAAAGGTACTGTTAAAGTAGTTAAAAACACATTAAAAGAGGAAAGAGGAAAAAATTAGAATAAGAAAAAAATAAAATTAAAAAAACTAATTAACTTTGCTAGACTAAAGAATCATGGGGAGAAAGCCATGAATTCCATGCTTTGCTTTCCCCTTCTCTGGAATTCCACTATTCTGCTTGATCAGTGAGCTTAGTCTTAGCTGGATGGTCTTGTTGATCTTCTGGGGGAGGGGCCTGCTGTAGTGATTCTCAAATATCCTTGCCCAAGGTGGAATTGCGCTGCTCTTGCCAGGGGCCAGGCTAAGTAATCTGCTTGGGTTTGCTTTTGGGAGCTTTTGTTCCCTGAATGCTTTCTGTAGAGCTCTGAAGGATGGGAATGAAAATGGGGGCCTCCCCTTCTCCAGCCGGGAGGAGCTGAGAGCTCATGGCCATACTCCTCAGTGCACCATCAGAGGAAACGCTCAATCACTCCTATCTCCCTGGTCTCCAGCTGCGCTCTGAGCTCACCCAGCCTGTGACCAAGCATTTCTGTCTTTGGCACATGGCCCCATTTGGAGTCTCTAAACCCAGCAGATTCCTGCCGCTCTGCTTTTCCAGTGGATGAAGGTGGGTCTCCCTGGATCTGCCACTTGTGGGGTCCCTGCTCAAAGAGCAGTGGCCTGTGCTGTGGATCACAGTTTAAGGTAACCCCGAGCTGAGAGCTCACTCCCCCGCTCTGTCTCTGTAGCTGGTTTTCCTGCTCTGATACCTACAAGCTCTGCTACAATCAGAAACCCCTGATCCTTCTGTGACCCTGCGGGAGCTGAGACCACACTGTCCCTGCAAGGGCTCCACCCCTGCTTAGCCCCTGGAGTGATGTCCCTCAGTGGAGCAGACTTCTAAAAGTTCGGATTTTGTACTCCATTGCTCACCACTTGCTGGGAGCTGGCCCCTCCCCCGCCACGGTCTATCTTCCCGTAGCTTTGGATTCACTTCTCCACACGTCCTACCTTTCAGAAAGTGGTTGATTTTCTGTTTCTAGAATTGCTGCTCTTCTTCTCTTCGATCCCCTGTTGGGTTTGTAGGTGTTTGGAATGGTTTGGTAACAATCTAGATGTCATCTTGGTCTGCTACTCTTGGACATCTTGACTCCGATTTTTGGTTCTTATTAAAAGATCAGTATTTTGTAAGAGTCAGTGATCACTCTACCTTATAATTCCTCTTGGAATTTTTTTAAAGATCCACATCAGTTTGCAACTCATAATGGTTTCCAATAAAAAAGTAATCTGTTTTCTGGGGGTATCCTCTTTTATCTCTTGAAGTTACAATATTATGTCATTTATCTCATAATCTTTTTTTCTGATATATTTGTCACTCAAATACCCTATCAGTTCTTGGATAACTAGCTTCTCCCTGAAACATAACTCCTTGCTAAGGGTATACTTCTCTTTAAAATAGTGCTGTTCGGATGGTTTTCCTCATAAACCCATATTCTTCTGTAAATTCTAAAGAACATAATAAAAGAAGTTATAAAGGCAGATTGGCTCTCTAAACATTTCTCCAATATCTTTCTCTTTTTTTTTTCTTGTTTCTAGGAAACTGATACCGAGCAGTTACTAAAAAGCCTACGTGAAGCAGAGTCTGAAGTTTTTGAAGCATCAGGTTAAGAAACTATTCACATTTGTGTTTATTATTAAGATAATTAAAAAGAGGATAGTTGTATCACAAAAAGAAAATTATTAATTCACTTTAAGAGGATTTCATTTTTTGTTTGAAATAAATATGCTTCTCATAGTTTTAGTATATACTATTTATTTTGTTACACTCCAAAGAAAATACTTTGACCCAATTAGGAGCTGTTTGGTTGTTTTGTTTTGTTTTGTTTTGTTTTTAGGATTTTATTTATATGAGAGAGAGACAGCATGTGTGTGAGCAGGGGGAGGGCAGAGGAAGAGGGAGAGAATCTCAAGCAGACTTTGTGTTAGTTTGGAGCCCAGTGTGGGTGTTGATCTCACAACCCTGAGATCATGACTTGAGCCAAAACCAAGAGTTGGATGCTTAACCAACTAAACCACCCAGGTACCCAAGAATGTTTGTTTTTCTTTTTTAAAATTCTCCTTTCCTCATTTAAGGACAAGAAAAAAGTTAAATCTTAACTATAATCTGTGAACAAGTATTTGTCTTAAACATTAGCTATAGGGCTATTGGTCTCTTTTGAGTAGAGGTGTGGTTGTGTGTGTGTGTATGTGTGTAAGGAAGGACAGAGAGAGGGAGATGGGAAGTTCAATTAGCATTAAATTTGAGAACTCTTTACAAATTATCAGTAAGATAATGGAAGATATTGTTTAGCATCCTTTAAAAAGATCTCAATTAAACATTCATTGAAAGTAAGTTAACATAGTTGCATAGACTATATATGTAAAATCTTGGATTCTGCAGGTGTTAAATAATGGCTTATTGTTGCAAGACTTGTGCCACAAGTTACTTCCCTACTTCCTTACTTCTACTTCCTGGCTACCTCAGCCTTTGATATCTTCATTTCATAACCTCTGAAAATCAGCCAGCCTAGAAGAGCTATGGTGTTTTTAGCCTACTCTTTACCTTGAAACGTTCAATTTTCAGGTGTAGGAGAATCACAATTTCCATCTTCAGTATCACTGTTGAAGATTTGAGGTTAACATGCCTCAGTCACTGTTGGTTGCCAATTTTTTTTTCTTTTTCTTTCTTTTTTTTTTTTTCTTTTTCTTATCTGAAGAGTTTATTTCAAGTCTAGTGACTTCTTTTTTCTGGTATTCCTCTAGCTTCTTATAGCTTCAGCTAACATTTATTGACCACTGTGTTGCAGGCCTTTACCTAGATTTTATAAATCAGTCCTCACAGCAGCCATTTGAGGGTGCTATTATTTCTTTTTAAGATTTTATTTATTCATTTGACAGAGAAAGAGAGAGAGATCACAAGTAGGCAGAGAGAGTTGGGGGGGAAGCAGGCTCCCTGCTGAGCAAAGAGCCCAATGCGGGTTTGATCCCAGGACCTAGATCATGACCTGAGCCAAAAGCAGAGGCTTAACCCCCTGAGCCACCCAGGCATCCCAAGGGTGCTATTATTATTTATCCATGTTTTACAAATTAGAAAGCTGAGGATCAGAAAGATTAAGAAACAAGTCAGAAGTCACATAGCCATCAACTGATAGGGATTAAATTTGAACGTTGTCCATTTGACCAAACAGATTAAGCATTTAGCCATATTGCTGCTCACATCTTACATGTACTTGTATCATACCTGTAAGATAAGCATTATTAATCTTATTTTACATATGAGAAAACCAAGGCTCAGAAAAATGGGCTAAGCTGACTACAGTCACATAGCTAACAATGACCATAATAAATTTTGTGTTATACTAGACTTAATACATTCCTTTGTATCTCAAATTTTTATTGTCTCCTTTAAAGGTTTTCCTTTTCTACTTGCTAAATATATAACCTTTATATTTGTAGGAAAATTTTACAAGAGCTTCAATCAGCCTCTTCCAAATGGCCCTACTTTCTCTGCTTACATGCAACTTTATTCCAGTCTCTTCTTCCAATCCCAATCCTATTACAGACCATCTGGGATTTATTTTATTTCCTCTTAACTTGAAGCAGAATATACTGCATATATGTTTTTATATCTTACATTGATGGATCTGAAATCTTACCACTTAATGCATGTATTCATTTTTATCTCCACACTTTTTCAATTTACAAATCCCCTATCTTCCCAGAGATTCATCAGCCTGTTTTTACTAAATAGTATTTATGTTTGAATAACTGCTTTGATTTAAATGTTCTTTGTTCTTGTGAGAAAAATTAAAATAGCATTAGTGTACATATGTTTAAATGTGTTTGTTTTATAATACAATAATGAAATACTCTATTAATTTATTAACAGATTTCCCTTTTATAATGGAGGAAGCTGAAACTGTTCCAAGTGAGGTGAGGGAACTTGGAAGAGAACTTCTAATAATCACTATTTTATAAGGGGATGTAACATTTATAAAGAAAGAAATATTTATAAATAGGAAAAAAAAGCACCCAGGAAGTTATTCAGGTTTTTATGGTCATTTCTGTTGTGGCACTGTGTCTACAGTTACATTATTTATTTAATTAAGTTACACTCTTAAAAGGGAAATTACAACATAAAATGATAATATTTTAAAATACATACAAAGATAGGGGACAAAAGATGTTGATAAAGAGAAAGTAGGCAACAAGTAAAAGTAAGAGCATGAAATTCTCTACAATGATCTTGGAAGTGGATGCTACAGACGTAACCACATTCTTTACTTTCTCTATGGATTTATAATCTATATTTAAGATAGAAGCAAAAATAGAGTTCACATAATATTTGATTTAATGATATTTTCTTTGTGCTATTTTGCTATTAAAATTTCCCTTATTTTTTAAATTTTTTCCTTATTTTTATTTTTTAAAAAAGATTTATTTCTTTTAGAGTGTGCATATTTGAGTGCTGGAGGAGGACAGAGAGAGAGAGAGAGAGAAAGAGAGAATCAGCTGAGTGCAGAGCTTGACAGGGGGCTCAGTCCCATGACCCTGTGATCATGACCTGAGCTGAAATCAAGAGTCAGACACTCAATGGACTGAGCCATCCAGGCATCCCTAAAATTTCTTTTATTGTAATATATTGGTGTAGCATAATAACAGCAAAATGTTGGACTGAATTATCTTTTTTAAGATGTTGCTGATTTACAAAATCTGAATATATGAGAACCACTGCTTTATAAAGTGGTGTGATTGGGGCACCTGGTTGGCTCTGGTGGTGTAGTGTCTGCCTTTGGCTCAGGTCATGATCCTGCAGTCCTCTGATCAAGCCCTGCATGGGGCTCCCTGCTCAGTGGGCAGTCGCTTCTCCCCCTCCCTCTGCCTGCTGTTCCCCCTACTTGTGCTCTCTCTCTGTCAAATAAATGAATACAATCTTGAAAAAAAAAGCTGTGTGATCATCTTAATGAATAATATTCTGTAGTCCATGGTTTCGTGCAAGTGAAGAGTTTAACTCTTTCAATAAGGAATGTAATAACTGACAGATATTGATGGTCACTTTTTATGATAACGAATAAGGTAGTACAGTGATTTTTTAAGTCCAGTTTTCTTATTTTAAATATTTTCTAGTGATTAATTGGTAGCTTGCTTTATTGATATATTTTCTAGTTGCTGGATAATGATGATAAGAAAGGCCTGACTCTACCAACTCTGAACCAGTCAAATCAAGATAATTCAAGTGCTGTTGCTCCTGGAAGTGATGAATCAACAAAGCAAACTCCATTGCCTGTTATTCCTATCCTGACAATAACAGAGGAGAACCAAGCATCACCTCTAGAAGAATGCCAATCAGAAGCTGCACTGGAGGGGGAAAAAAATATGTTCTTAACATCAGATATAAAATTGAAAGATAGATATCCAAGGCTTTTAAAAACAGACTCATCTTCATCAGAGGTAAAATTGAAAACTAGCTATATATATCCAGGTAAAATAAAGCGGAGGAACTTAGAGTCATCACCAACAGAACTTAGACGGCAAAGCAACAATTTAAGCTTAGCTAGGAAAAAGAGCACAGTTTCCCCAGATTCAAAATCCAAAGGTAGGTCTCAAACCCAAGATCCAGAGGAAGACCTTGTATTAGAAGTATAAGACTAGGGAAAACAAAATAATTCATTTAAAAAAAAACAAATAAATTGAAAATGCATTCAAAAGTCTCCAAGTGGAAGTATGTCTAAGTATACTAAACATTCCTACCCTACTTAGATTCAAGTAAGGAGGAAAAAAAACCCTTGAAGGAAAAGCAGAGTGATGTGAGATACCCGTAGTACAAACTAGTCTCATGGGTGGGTATAAAATTCAGCTGAAAGTGTAACAATAGGGAGATGTAAATTCAAAGGAAATTCAAAATCTGGGGAAATTATTTCAGTGGAAATTTTTAATAAAACTGTTAGAGAAAATAACATTCTTATTACAAATAATTTTATAGTTTAAAATGAGAATGATTTGAATATAAATTCAAAGGGTTAAAGCACTTCTCAAAATGACAGTTATTCTATTTAGATCTTTACTTCTTATTTGAATCACTATTATAGGTAGCTCCTAAAGCAGTGTAAAAATGTATACTGGTCAATGGGTAAACAATCTGAATTCTAACTAAGGTTCTGCCTCCAAATACTTCAGCAAACTTGGGCACCTAAACATCTAAACCTCTAGACCTATTTCCTCATCTGTTGAATGGTAGATCATATCAGGTCATTTCTAAATTCTCTTCCAAATTCTAAGATAATTTCATTAAATATCTCTATTTGGGGAATAATTCTTTTTTTAAATTTAATTAATTAGTTTGATAGAGTGTCTGTACAAGCAAGGGGAGTGACAGGCAGAGGGAGAGGGAGAAGCAGGTTCCCTGCTGAGCAAGGAGCCCAGTGCGGGCCTGGAGCCCAACATGGGGCTGGAGCCCAATGTGGGGCTCAGTGCCAGACCCCAGAGATCATCGGCTCAGGTCATGATCTCAGGGTCGTGGGATCAGACCCCGAGTCGGGCTCTCTGCTCGGCGGGGAGCCTGCTTCCCCCCCTCTCTCTGCCTCCCTCTCTGACTACTTGTGAACTCTGTCAAATTAAGAAAAAAAATAGCTAGGCATGGAACAAACACAGGGTCATTTCTACTGAATTTTTTTAGTTAAAGCAAGTCTCATGATCAAGCCTGATTCGGTATGGGAAGGGACTGCAGAAGGGCAGGAATCTTAGAAAGTGATGTTCATTGGGGGCTCACATTTGGAGATTTAACTGCCACAAATTAACTATCTCTACCCACAAGTCATTCATGTGCCTCCCACATGCAAACTATATTTACTCCCCTTCTAAGATCCTTGCCTCATACTATTGCTGCATCAGGCTTGGCCTTGAAGTACAGAATTTGAGCATCTAAATCAGATCCAGGTGGATGAGGCTGCTTGAGTATGGCACCTCTCAGTCTTAAAATCTGTGAATTGAGGGGCACCTGGGTGGCTCAGTGGGTTAAGCCGCTGCCTTCAGCTCAGGTCATGATCTCAGGGTCCTGGGATCGAGTCCCGCATCGGGCTCTCTGCTCAGCAAGAAGCCTGCTTCCCTCTCCCTCTCTCTCTCTCTCTCTCTCTGCCTGACTCTCCGTCTACTTGTGATCTCTGTCTGTCAAATAAATAAATAAAATCTTTAAAAAAAAAAAAAATCTGTGAATTGAAGAGACCGGTTATCTGTGTCCTGTATACGTGGTGAGTAAGGAACAGGAAAACACATAGGCACTTATATTCCAAAGGTGGAAAAAGGGGAAAGTGAAGCGTACAGCAGTCAGTGAGTGAGCCATAGTAATTTTGAAGCTCTTGCCTCTACCCTCGTGTCTTGGCTTTACCTTCTCTTTCCATGAGAAAGAGCTTATATTGGTAACTGAGTAACTTTGCAGCCTCTGTCTTCTCTGTAGAAAACCGAAGGCCGAGGGTTCAGAAACCTCTTTCCATTTAAATTGTCTCTGTTCCTGTCCCAGATGTTATGATTCTTAAAGAATTTGTGATTTTCTGTATTATCAAGTTATGATCCTAGCCAACTGTTACACTTCGGAATATCTTTAAGACAGGCCACAGTTTGCCTTTGGTTGAGAGCCAAGGTGCTGTAGTACAATATCCTTAAGAATCATAGAGGCTCAGGGTGCCTGGGTGGCTCAGTGGGTTAAGCCTCTGCCTTCAGCTCAGGTCATGATCTCAGGGCCTGGGATTGAGGTCCTGCCCAGGGGGGGAGCCTGCTTCCCCCCACCCACTTGTCTGCCTGCCTCTCTGCCTACTTGTGATCTCTCTCTCTCAAATAAATAAATAAAATCTTTAAAAAAATAAAAAAGAATCACAGAGGCTGTCCTAACCAGCCAAGAGGATTTAACAGGCTATCCTAAGATACTTAGAATATTTTTTGTTTAGCCGAGTGGGTCTGTGAAACACTATTTTAAAACTTTTTGAGATCTGGGGGCATCTGGGTGGCTCAGTCAGTTAAGCAGCTGCCTTCAGCTCAGGTCATGACCTTACGGTCCGGGGATCAAGACCCGTGTCAGGCTCCCTGCTCAGCAGAGAGATTCCTCCTCCCTCTTCCTGCCCCTCTGCCCACTTGTGCTCGCTCGCTCTCTCTCTCTCTCTCTGTCAAATAAATAAAAATCTTTATTAAAAAAAAAAACTTTTTGAGATCTGAACAAGAGATCTTATAGTCACACCCTTGTGATCTTGACCTTGAAACCACATTTTCCTGATTGGAACCCAATCAATGAAGTCAGAAGACAAGGATTTCTGTCATTGGTTCAATGGCTTAACAATGTCTTTAAAGACCAGAACAGGATCTTACTTTTCCTCTTTTTCATGTTCATGCTTGTCACTTTATGGTCACAAGATGTTTGCTTCAGTCCTAGGCATCATAGGTAGATCAAGGCAGGTGAAAGAATGGGAGGTTGAGCAATCATGTTCTAGTGCCTAAGGAAAACTAGGATTAAGGAAGATGGAATTGTGTTATGTGATGCCACTAACCTTTTATTAATTTGTTGAATTTAACTGCCTTCCTTATGCTATCAATTTTATTCATGAAATGTAAACCCTTGCATGATGATTGATGGAACTGGTGGGAAATATTCCATGATCTCTCAAATTCATTATCTTTGCTAATTCTTCTCTTTGAATCAACCCAACTCATGCATATATGAAATGCATCTTTACAATTAGTTTATCCACTTTCTTTTTTAACTCAGTAATTTTTTTCACCTAGAAGTTTTTCTAATCTAATTACATCTGTGAATTCTTCAAACTAATTAAGACTATAAAAATAGAGATAAAAAATAGTTTCCATGATTTTTGGAGTAGGAGAACTTTTCCAATTAATCGAAGTAGACCTTCTTTTGAAACAGATAATTTTAAAATTTCTCATCATTTTTCTCTTTGCTCATACTATTCTCTGGAAGATCTGTTTGTCCAGTAGTATCTGAGATGGATTTTGTCAGAGATAGTTTACTTAAATCCTTTCCAGAAAAAGGAAAAGGAGTCATTTTATATTTTCAATGGTTTTAATATTGCTCTCTTAGGCTTTTATTTGCCTATGAGAAACAGAAATATATATATATATATATATATATATATATATATATATATATATATATGTAAAAATTGGAAGCAATACGTTTCAGAGAGCATCACTGAATTTTCAGTGTTTTCATATTCATTGAGCCAACATTCCTTGACTTAGCTGGGCACCCTGGACTAATTGCATGTACTATGAGCTTGAAGAAATGTGTGTCTCTATTGAGGAGTAGAAGGTTCTGTCCACTTTCTTCCAAGTCAGTCTTCACTTGAATATGGTAAATTACAGGTGGTTTCATTAGCCTTTTAATCTGTTTTCATCTTGACCATAATAGAAACATTTTTGGACTGTTGAGCACCCGTGCTTATTTTCTGTCTTGTCCCCACCTTTGTCTGCTGTCTGCCCTTCTTTGTTTTATGCTCCAAGAAGATAACTGCTATGGAATGCCTTATGAGACCGTCATCCTGGCTGATTTCTTGTTAGGTCCAGGAAATGGCAAACACTGGCAGAACATTGGAGGTCAATAGGGAAAGAAAGGTTGAGTTCTTCTGTCCTACTGTTTTCCTGCCTTGGTGCTGTGGTTCTGACAATAAATTTTCCTTCATATCTACATCTTCAGCTGAGTGGCCCCAGCTCCATGACTCCAGCTATTACCAGGCTTTGCCTGGAGTGGTAACATCTTTTCAGTGTTTCCCTCAACATTCATTATTGGTTCCTTACCCATAAATACACTTTCATTAATAGTAGGGCTTTTTTTGTTAAACCATTTTAGAGGAATACTAATCCCTGCCCTAACTCTAACTAGTAATATTCCCAGTTTTCTGGTATGCATGCATATTTTCCTCTATTTTTTTAGCTCTGAATTTTTTTTTTTAAATTTGCAGTATAGTTGATACACAGTTTCCCGTGTTTTGGGGTTTTTTTGCTCATTTCACAGCAGCTTTGTATTCAAATGTTCATTTTGATCTGAAGGTTCATCATGCATTTTTAAAGTACAGAATTGAAAATGATGTGTGCTTATTATTAAAATTCAAGCAATCCCCCCCCCAAATGTAAGAAAGAGCCATAATTCTACCATCCAGAAATTACCAGTGTTAATATTTGGTGACATCATTTCATAAATCTTTCTGTATTTTTGGGAGACATTCTCCATGGTTCTTCTGAGAGGTATAGGATTCTTTTCCTATAACATAATCAGTTGCATGTGATCTTGTTATCTGGCTCACTTTCCATTACTTTGGGAATCAGGCTTGGGGAACTGATGTAAAAATGCTTATACTCTGGCTGCTGTGATTGCTCTGAGTAATAAACTTTTGTTTCTGACCCAGGAAACTTACTTCTTCTATCAGCCTCCATGGAACTGTGACAAGCTA